ATAGTAATAGGTTCCAGCACGCAGACAGTTAATATTACTAGGTTCCAGCACGGAGACAGTTAATACTATTAATCTCAGTCACGCAGACAGTTAATACTAATAAACTCCGGCACGCAGACAGTTAATACTATTAATCTCCGGCAAGTAGACAGTTAATACTGCTAGGTTCCGGCACGCAGACAGTTAATACTATTAATTTCCGGCACGCAGACAGTTAAACATTCCATCAAACATTGAATCTACTATAAAAGTTTACTTACCTGAAGCCCAGACACATTGGGAAGATCCTCTCCTGAAACACACACAGAGAAAGAATGATGGAAACAATGTGACTATCCTCCATCCTCCACCTCATACCCACCCACCCCTGGGTGATTAAAATTTATAGATCTAGGGCTACACACCCTTCCAATAAGCAATCAATAACACCTGGGCAACATATTAACCCTTTCCTGGCTGAGCCTCTAATCCATTAACCCTTTCTTGGCTGCCCCACCCAATCATTAACCCTTTATGGCCCCATCCCCTTCCAATTAGCAATAACACCTGGGCAGCACATTAACCCTTTCCTGACCGATCCTACAAATTATTAACCCTTTCTTGGCTGCCCCACCTGTTTATTAATCCCTTTTATGGCTCCGCCCCTTACTATTAGCAATCATAACATCTGGCATTACCTGTCAACAGAACATTAACCCTTAGCTGCCACTCACAAATATTAACTGTCTGCATGCCAGGAAGGAATAATATTAACTGTCAGTGTGCCAGAGCCTAATATTAAATTAGTGTGCAGAAGCTATGTAGCATTAACTGTGTGCCAGAAGGACAGAGGCAAGGAAATATTTACAATTAGTGTGCCACAGGTAAATAATATGAACCATGTTTGTTTTTTTCAAATGTTTATTTTTTTCGTAAATTACCAATAAAATATGACATTACTATTACTATTATTCAAAGGGCTTCCTGTTTGAAAAAAATTATAACAAAACATTTATAAGAACTAGAAAAATAATTATATATTTTTCATTAGACTAACAAATTTGGCGCTTTTTTCTCCCTCGCTGTAAAGATTACAGAAGTCAAATAAAGAATTAAGACTATCCAATTGGAGCATACGCTTCTATGATGAAGAGACTAGATTTGCACTTTATGGTAATCCATAGACAAATCTTAAACTCTAAAGGTGACAAATTCTCTTCGCTATTGGCTTCTATATTGCGACATAGGTTGTCCCAAACAAGGATAAAGTATAGAATTAAGTTAAAACTATAATACAAATTAGCAATACATTTGCTTAGTATTATTAAAAAATATATATAATCTGTCTCTTGATTCTAAATTAACACAACCTACAGAAAGGATTTGCTATTTGCAGGATAAAAGAAATTACATGTGAACAATTAGAATTCTTAGATTCCCCTATATCACAAAAATACATTTTAGATGCCATTAATTCGATACCTGTTGGTAAAGCTCTGGGTCCTGACAGATTCACAGTACTATATTATATATCCTTCTCTGGCTGTTATTACCTCACTTAATGAATTTGAGCATATGATGTCTCCTCCAATAATAATTAAACAAATAATAACTTTACCCCAAACTGGTAAATCTCCTACTGCTTGTTCAAATTTGTGTCCCATATCAATAAAGGGAAACTATAGTCACCAGAACCACTGCAACTTAATGTAGTTGTTCTGTTGAATATAATAGCTCCCTTCAGGAATTTTCATGCAAACACTGCCTTTTCAGCGCAGTAGGCAGCAGTGCCGTTCAGCGCCTCCACGCCCTGCATGGGGACGCTGAATTTTTGATTGATTCAATGCATCTCTATGAGAAGGTGCTGATTGGCCAAAGCGGTGTTTGACCCCGCCCTTTGCGGATTTTAACCAATCCAATGTTTTTCCCATGGGATTAGTTTTATGGTAACCCATCGGCAAATGTTTCTGCAACTGGTTTTGTCTCTGATTGGTTTCACATTGTCCAAAAGGTACTAGACAGTAGTGTCCATTGTCACCGCTTTTATATGCGTTGGCAGTGGAACCTTTGGCTGAAACAATTAGAAAATCTCTGGATATTGGATTGGCTGAGAATGTCAAGGAGGCAGATCAGAGGCAGATAGCACAAGTCAAACACAGCCCTGGCCAATCAGCATATCCTCATAGAGATGCATTCAGATTTGGCTCAGATTAAAAGAAGAAATTGTGGTCTAGTCTAGAAATATCATGGCTAGGGAGACTTAAAGCGGCACTGTCAATGCGAACTTACCTTTCTTTAATCGCTTCCTCTTCTCTCCCTCTCTCAGGATCTGTTCTTCATTTCTTCCTGTCTGCTCTAGTTTTCTTTAAAACATAAGACAAAGTAGAAACTACTTTGTCTTATGTATTTTTCCTACACCTGACCAGCAGAGGAGCAAAGTGTGCTTTATTTCCGGTGGTCAGAGCAATTTCCCTCAATTCTCAACTTTCCTCCGTGATCTTGCAATGCTTCCTGTCAGTATTCCTGAAGTCCTGTCACTTAGACAGAACGCCGGCGAAACTACCGAATTTCGTCCTAACAGAATGAGAACAGTTTGTTTATTCGTGTTAAGACGGCATTCGGTACTTTTAGGTCGCTTTGAAATTTAATTAGAACTAATGAAATTCCGATCCTATTCCTGCCACGGCTGCATCTTGCAGCCACTTAGTAGATAACTCCCTAATTCCCACGGTATCAGGGAGCTATCTACCAAAAGGTAAAGATTACTTAGTATTAGTGATTAATCTGAGGCATGTCTAGTACACAGCTGTTAAAAAATAAATACACCCCCCTCCCACAATAAATGGCCCCATGGTAAGACATCTATTAACTAGCGGGGGGGGGCTTATTAGTAAATAATCTGCCCCTACACGCGGAATAGCGAGTAGGGGGGGGATAATTTACTAATACTAAGTAATCTTTAATGTTAGTAAATTTGGCTGAAAGACTTATTTAGGTCTTTCAGCTTTTTGGTAGATAGCTCCCTGATACCATGGGAATTAGGGAGTTATCTACTAAGCAGCTGCAAGATGCAACCGCGGCACGAATAGGATCGGAGTTTCATTCATTCAAATGAAATTCCGATATGAACAAAGTCCCGAATTGCGTCCTAAAACGAATTGAGAAACTGTTCTCATTCTGTTAGGACGCAATTCGGTAGTTTCGCCGGCGTTCTATCTAAGTGACAGGACGTTTGGGAAATGTGAAAGGAGGCTTCGTGGGAACATGTAAGAATTGTGGGAAAATTGCTCTGACCACCGGAAATGAAGCACACTTGTCTCCTCCGCTGCTCATAGATGGTCAAGCGTAGGAAACCTCCATAAGACAAATGGTGCTTCTCTGCTGGTCATAGATGGTCAGGTGTAGGAAACCTCCATAAGACAAATGGTGCTTCTCCGCTGGTCATAGATGGTCAGGTGTAGGAAACCTCCATAAGACAAATGGTCCCTACTTTGTCTTATAAAATTTAAAGAAAACTAGAGCAGACAGGAAGAAATGAAGAACAGGTCCTGACAGAGGGAGAGAAGAGGAATCGATTGGGGAAAGGTAAGTTCAGCATGACAGTGGCGCTTTAAATGTCAGTTGCCACAACTCTGACCATTTTTCGAATTTACCTAAATCATTTGCCATTTGGCTTATCCCTCCTCGAACATCAACCATGTTGCAAATTATAAGCCTTTCCCCTCCCTGCGGAGCACAGTCTGCGTGGTGGCCACGCTGGGTGAAGACGGATTACTCTTTTAGCGTCTGGATTTTTTTTTTTGTCTTTATTTGCGCTCTGGTTTTTTATTTTATTTCATAAGTTTGGTGGGTATTATGGATTTTTATTTGGCCTTTTATGGGTCTGAAAAAAGGTTTTAGAAAAAAGAACAAATGATAAGTATTTTTATTAATTTACAGGTATTTAGTTTTATTGTCTCTCCCTCACTGTTGTTAGGGTGAGGGGGGTAGGTAGGACTTTAAATTTTTTTTGGGGTGGGGGGGATGACTAGGGGCTTGGGGACCCCTAGTCACCTGGGGGCGTATTTTTACATTTAGCCCCCATCAGTCGCCTATGAGTGGGGGCCGGAGGGTAGGACAATAGGTGTATGTCCCCCCATTGTCATTTAGGGTCACCACCCGTTGCTCTTGGGTGGGGGGAGGACAATCAGTCCCCCCACATTTTCATTTAGGGCTCCCACCTGCCGTTCATGGGTAGGGGCCTAGAACAATAGGTTTCACCCATTGTCTTTTAGAGCCCCCACCCACTGCTCATGGGTGGGGGCCAAGGGGGACCCTATGTCCCCCATTTTTTTTCATAGCCCTCACTCGCTGGGCACGGGTGGGGTCTGTGGGGGGACATTATGTCCCCCCCACTAGTTAATAGATGCCCCTTACTTCCTTGCTTACTGTTTAGTAGACATGCAGCTAATCGCGGCATAGCGATCAAGGTTCATAGCATAAAGATTTAAATCTCACTTATGCTATTATGGGGGTCATATTGACCCCCATAGAGTGAGGGAGGACATGAGGGGGGCTTAGCCGCCTCCCTCCGCTTTTATTTTTCCATTTTACAAGGAGGGAGCTGCGCTATTCAGTGTTTGTTTATTAGTCTGAAATTTCTATTCATTATTTTGTCTTTCTGGTGAATGAATGGACAAAATTCCTGAAGCGAATGCCTAACTGTTTAACTGGGCATGCGCTGGGATTTCACAGTGCTGTCTAGTGTGGGCAGATGACGTATCCCACGGACCTAGGTCCGGGCAGAAAATAAAGATTTAAAAATAGGTAATATGGGGGGCTTAGGGGCATTTGGAGGTAACTAGGGGGACAATTAGATGTAGTGGAGTCGGGAGGAGTGTTTTAAAAAAAAAAAAAAAACTGGACAGTGCCGCTTTAATTCAATCGAAATGACGGTTTTCCCAAAACACTTTCTAAAAACAATTGCCCTTACTATTCTCATATAGTTCTTTAAGAAGGTACACTCTGCACTTTTGTCAATCCCTTTTTTTTATTGAGGTAAATGCATAACGTTACAGTAAAGAAAAATCATAGGAGAAGCACATATATGACATGGTAATTCACAAGTGTTTGGTTATACCTCATTTTTTTTGTATGATAAAAACAGGCTAAATATACAGGTTTGTACGTTGGTAAGAGCAGGCTCAATTCCGGCACGAACTCTGCCCTTTTGACATTCCTTTGGAATCGTGACATATAAAATGTATATGAATTACATGCTCCATTACATTATGAAATTGTTAGTCTAATTAGCAATCACTTTGGACTTTCTGACCAGAATCCGAAAATAAATAAAACAAATTTAGATGGAATCTATCGTTGAGATCCTGGTCGGAAACATTATTTCTCTGTGTTACTTACACTTTTTTGAAGACACAAATTATAATTTAGACACACTACAAAAATGGGAAAGGGAATTCGATATTTAAATCACTTTAGAAGAATGGTTCTGTTTCTCGTTATCATTAAAAAGAATAACTCAATGCACGATCTTATTTAAAAAAAAAAACATTTTAAAATAATACATTGATGGTATCTCAACCCTGCTAGACTATTCCAATCAGACCTCTGTTGGAGAGGCTGTGGACAAGTAGGTTCCTTAACATATATCTTTTGGAATTGCCTTAAATTTAAACCTTTCTTGGATTCTATGCATAAATTAACTAATACCATTACAGACACTGTTTTAACTCTTTCACCTGTAATTTGTTAATGTAAAATATTCCCCAACAACATATCCAATACTCAGAAAGTTGTGCTTGGTCACCTATTAATTGCAGCCATATCTACTATCCCACGTTATTGGAAGTCTGACATCATCCCTGATGTAAAATTTAGTTTTAAATTATGAGTTTTAAATTATGTATTAGATAATAAAAGTTGTGAATTGATATTTCGTAATCCAACTGAAAAACTTGATGTATTAAAACATGAATGGTCATGATTGGGGGGGATATATTTGTTTATAATATAATTTTACATCCAACCAAAAAGAAAATTTATTTTTTTATTTTTATTACTTATTTGTATTGGTAATTTTTTCAATATAACTACACTATAATAGCAAATGTTTTGGTTTTATATTATATGCAAATGTCATGTTTTGTTTTAATGGAATATACACTTTAAGATAAGAAATGCTTTCTTATTATCCCTTATTATTAATAAAAATTTTTTTACAATATTGCTATTACTATCAATATATTATGTCAAAACTTTAAAGGACCACTCTAGGCACCCAGACCACTTCAGCTTAATGAAGTGGTCTGGGTGCCAGGTCCAGCTAGGGTTAACCCATTCTTTTATAAACATAGCAGTTTCAGAGAAACTGCTATGTTTATGAATGGGTTAAGCCTTCTCCTATTTCCTCTAGCGGCTGTCTCATTGACAGCCGCTAGAGGCGCTTGCGTGATTCTCACTGTGAAAAATCACAGTGAGAGCACGCAAGCGTCCATAGGAAAGCATTGATAATGCTTTCCTATGTGACTGGCTGAATGCGCGCGCAGCTCTTGCCGCGCGTGCGCATTCAGCCGCATGGGAGGAGAAGAGGAGGATCGGAGGAGGAGAGTTCCCCGCCCAGCGCTGGAAAAAGGTAAGATTTAACCCCTTTCCCCCTTCCAGAGCCGGGCGGGAGTGGGACCCTGAGGGTGGGGGCACCCTCAGGGCATTATAGTGCCAGGAAAACGAGTTTGTTTTCCTGGCACTATAGTGGTCCTTTAATAAAAATGATTTGACAAACAAATACAAATGACAATACAGTGAATTGTTTACAAAATCGTGCGAGCAGATAAATACTAGTAACATGAATTTTACATAACAATGAATTTTTTATTTTATTTTTTAAATCTGCTTTTAGTACGACCAACATCAAGAACTGCTCTACAATACTTCCAGAATATATATATATTTGTATATGTATGTATAGCTAGTGTATTGAGGAGTCGTTACATTTTATGACTCACTAGAGCAGGCCACAAGTTGGCTGCCCCTCTTTACTACAATGAGGTGGAAGGTGGGGGGGAGGTATATATCTGGTCTGTAGACCAATTGAGCTGATAAGGTATAATGTAAGTAAAATGTGCACTAAATGTAAAAGAAATAAAAGAATGTTAAAACAGAAACCAGTAATGAACAATCTATTGAAAGCCACATTAGGCAAGGACAATTCATCCCCTCAGAGGACTCTGGAAGTAATTGCCATGTATGAGGCCTGTGCGGGCTGTCTCGTGGTAAAATCGGCTACCGATGCCGCGATCCATCCATCAGGGCCCTGCGTGTTTTTTAGGGCGTCTTGAGGGAGTCCCAGGTTGGCAAGCAGAGCCGCTGCACCTTGTAGATTGTGGACTGCAGTCTTGTCTTCACCCTTAAGGACCTGGAGTGTGCCATGCATAAAAGGGAGTATTAATTCATATGACAAAATTATTATTTTACTGAAAATAAGCTACTTTTTCAGGAATATACACAGCTGGTGCAAACATTTCTCTTTTTGAATATTTTATACATAGACCACCCAAACCAATTGTCCTCTGTGTTCTTCATCTGCAAAAGTTGAACGGCAGGATGGCATCGCTACATGTATATCTATGATAAACCTCAACAATTTGAAGTTACACAAAGTCTTGCCCCTAAAAACACCTTTTACTTCCAAACTTATTTTCATCCACACGGCACTCTGTAATAATCTGGAATATTGCACTGAAAAAAATACCTATTTTTCTTTTTTAAAGGTTTATTGTAAATGCAAAGATGGACAATACCATGACATTAGATCAAATCACATAGGGGTTGGCTGTCGTTACATAGATCAGGAGTATAATGAAGAATAGTTACATGGTGAGACAATACATCACAATCAGGGTAACAGTTATGGTCTTCAGGTATGTATAGTAGCAGTTTATACAGAGTCAAAAGTGTCAGTCATATCGTAAGTGACGTTAGATGTGGAGTACATATGTCCCTGAGTGCGCATTATGTAAAAGGTTCAGGGTTTATTACAATCGTCTGTTGCAGCCAACAAATGGGTGAAGTCAACAGTATGTTTGGTAAAGTATTGTGTATTGACATGTCAGGATTAAAAGTGTTGAACTAACACAGAAAACATCAGATCTAAACATCTTAGCATGGTAGAAAGTCACATTGTGGTGTGGTGGAGACCCAGTAATGGTTAACGACGAGATTGGTATGACCAGGTTGGTTTACATCAGGTCATATAGTGTCATTCGGGTGTCAGCGGAGTGGGGAAACCGGAGAAGAGGAATGGAGAAACGGGAGGAGAGGAATGGAGAAACGGGAGGAGAGGAGTGGAGAAACGGGAGGAGAGGAGTGGAGAAACGGGAGGAGAAGAGTGGAGAAACAGGAGGAGAGGAGTGGGTAAACTGGAGGAGAGGAGTGGAGAAACAGAAGGATAGGAATGGGTAAACTGGAGGAGAGGAGTGGAGAAACAGAAGGATAGGAATGGGTAAACTGGAGGAGAGGAGTGGTGAAATAGGAGAGGAGTGGGTAAACAGTTGGAGAGGAATGGGGAAACAGGAGGAGAGGAGTGGGTAAACTGGAGGGGAGGAGTTACTAAACAGGAGGAGAGGAGTGGATAGGAAGGGCCTGAGGACCAATATTAGGTGGTACCGATTAGTTGGATTTGGGAAGTGAGGGATGTTATATTCAATGAGCATCTTTATAGTGTGCCCTGGAGGGGGAGGGGGGTTAGGTCTCCCTATGTGTATATCTCAACCCTGGGGTAAGTAGGGATCGGGATAGCACTGCTCCTATTTGGACAGGGGGCATTTTATTGGTCTTCCATAAACTTTACCCACGGCTCCCATACCAACCTGTAGAAGGGTTACCTATTCAGTACTTCTGGATCAGCCGGCAATGCCACCAAGTGTGGGCTAAAGACCACCCAGGTTAGGTGCATTTCAAGCTAGTGTCAGGTGTATCCAGGAAAAGGTTGTGGAATTTAGATGGAGAGTAGTAAAAATACTTAAACACGGGGGGGCGGAGCCTAACAGCGGAGCTGAGCGGTCGCAACTTACTGGAGCTCCGGCTACACCGCGGCGATTTTGGAGTAAACACCGCTTTGACCAAGCGGTTTCGTAACCGGTCCAACCACGTGCAGCTGGGGAGTCACCCGGAGACTGCCTGGAGCAGCAACAGCAGCGCTAGCTCCAACACTCGGGTCTGCAGCACGAGTTGGGGCCTACCACATGCGGGCAGGCGGGAAGTGGCCATTCCCCCTGCTAAGGTACAGGGTGACTCAGCTCCCATAGTAGACCCCACCAGAGACTTGCCTCCCCCCCCCTGCCGGAGAGGGAGATCCCGGTATCATACACATACCCACAGAAGATATGGGGCGCAAGCATAAAAGACAGTTCCAGACAGACAGGCCTGCAGTGCAGGATATTAGACTATCCTTTGGGAGAGCACCCCAGCAAACACCCACAAGGGCGGCAGCTGAGCAATACAGTGAGCAAGATGCCTCTGATGACTCTCCTGAAGAGGAGGAATATATCATCTCTCCTCACCCAGCTGGAGTGTACCAGCGAACTAACTCAGATGAGGACTCATCCCCCGCCACAAAGGGAGATATTAAAAAACTGCTCCTAGATCTGAGAACAATGTGGAAGTCCGACCTCCAGGAAACACAAACTGATGTCAAGGCCCTGCAGCATGAGATGTCTGCAATGGAGAGCAGAGAACAAGCCAGAGACACTCAGCTCCAGACCACTACACAACATGTGGAGGATCTCACCTCACAAGTTAAACAAATAAGCAAAATGGTGCTCACACTGGAGTCCAGACACAGGCGTCGGAATGTGCGTCTGAGAGGTCTACCTGAACAGGTTGAGGGGGGGGACACACTGCAATATGTTCAAATGCTGTTTACCTCAATGGGCGTTCATAGCCCCACAGGCACCCCTTGCATCCTGGCCGCCTTCCGAATACGCAAATCCACAGCGGCACCAGCAGACGCACCGAGAGATGTCATTGTGACAACCAAGGACATTGCGGTGAGGACCGCTATTATGACTAAATCCAGATCTATGGGCCAAGTGAGTTTTGAGGGCCATAACCTCTCCATCTACAGTGACCTCCCATTTGCCATCCTGGCGGAAAGAAGACAGCTGGCCCCAGTAGCTAGGAGGCTGCGGGACTGCTCTATCAGATATCGATGGAATGCGGATGGCTCTCTGGCCGTCACACAAGGCACAGAAACATTCACCCTAACTTCTTCAGACAACCCAGAGACTCTCTTTAACAAACTGGGCCGACCAGCCGCCAACACGCCAGAAGAGACAAACCGAGAGGAAGCAACACCTGAGAAAAAGGCCATGGGGAGAGCGAAACAACAGAGCAGTCCGACCAAGAGACACCTGCCTAACACCAGGGACAGTTCTGGAACGCCATAAATGTTATCAAGGAACTGTCGGAGTGCTGTTCCCTTCAATGCTGCCATGTTCTATAATTTTCTATAATTTTCTTGTTTTTACATATATATAGGCATTTAACCTTTTATTCCTTATATAAAGTTTTAAGATCTGCGGACACCTACCGCCCGCTGATGCAATATATCATTATACATGACTTTTCTATTGCCATGCTTGTAATTCAACATATATGTTGTGGTTGAGCTTGTATCTGCTGTCGTGGCACTACGAGCATGTGGTATATGAACCTATACTTGCCTAGCACGTGTTAAACTCCGCTCGCTGTTCTTATAGTTAATGTGCAAGTTATATACCACGTTTGACTACTTATGTCCTAACTAAATAACCTAAACTGTCAGCTCAACTTAGCCTACTATGCTTGAACTCACTAGCCTGACTTATCTATAGCTTACCCTTTAAAAAAAAAAAATTGTGCCTAAATATCAAATGTCACATCCTGTATTGCATATTTAATTTTTATATACCTCAATACCGCTGTTGTGGCATACTGAGGCTGTTTGTTAATTTGTGCACAACAAAAATAAAGAATTTAAAAAATAAATAAATAAATACTTAAACACATCGTCCATAGTTTCTCCATAAAAGGCAATGCACTGCTCTAACAAATCAAGGTTTCTAGATTTGTTCCTAGACTCTTCACCAAACTACTAAATCACATTTTACTGCAGGCTGTACCCCAATACTGGGACAATCTTCAACATATTCTCTGTAATGACATCCTGGAAATTATACAGGATAAGAAAAACATGTAAAGCAGGCTTTATTCTCCAAAAATTAAACAATATTTTTGAGAAGATTTGGAACAACTGGACGAAGTCTGTTTATCTCACTCAGGGCTATTCATCAAAGTGAATTTTATATTTTAAATCAAGATTGCTGAACTGCAAACATTCTCCAATTTACTGTTTTTTTTTCTTTTCCGTGCTCCTAATGATTTTACAATTCAATTCACTGTGAGCGCATGTGTTTCATTTCATACTATCCGGATGTGACACATTCTTAACGTGCTATTAACGATATCAGCCTTTCTTGGGTACTTCACTTTAAATATGTGTATATCCTGTAAAACTGGCCACTTACTACGTGGGTCATTTTTGTAAAGTCGCTCCCTTCACTCGATTATATTCTTTACTAAATATATCTTTACAAAAATAAACTGAGAATAAGACAGGCAGATGGGCAAGGAGAGAATAGAATTACGAGGTGGACATGTATTCAGCATGACAGCAAGAGAAATGCACATAATAGTGCAAACACACTCATCTCTGTATGAGAGAGCAACTAGTACAGAGACAGCCCGCACTGCCAGTACCATGCCCGCCTGGCTAAGAGGTACAGAAACTCAGCAGCACACACAGATTCCAGAGACACAAACACAATAACACGGCAACATAGACAAATTACAGAGACACAAACACCATAAAAAAGCAACATAGACAGCTTCCAGAGACACAAACACCACAACAGCAGCAACATACAAAGCTTCCAGAGACACAAACACCATAACACAGCAGCGCACACAGCTTACAGAGACGCCAGCAGCACACACAGCTTACAGAGACGCAAACACCATAACAGATCAACATACACAGCTTACAGAGACGCAAACAAACACCATAACACAGCAGCACACACAGCTTACAGAAACGCAAACACCATAACAGATCAACATACACAGCTTACAGAGACGCAAACAAACACCATAACACAGCAGCACACACAGCTTACAGAGACGCCAGCAGCACACACAGCTTAGAGACGCAAACACCATAACAGATCAACATACACAGCTTACAGAGACGCAAACACCAGAACAGATCAACATATACAGCTTACAGAGACGCAAACACCATAACACAGCAATATACACCGCTTACAGAGACACAAACACCATAACACAGAAACATATACAGCTTACAGAGACACAAACACCATAACATGGCAACATATACCGCTTACAGAGACGCAAACACCATAACACAGCAGCACACACAGCTTACAGAGACACAAACACCATAACATGGCAACATTACACAGCTTACAGAGACACCAACACCTTAACACAGCAACATACACAGCAGTGTTAATTTTGCAGGCTAACATTTCGTCAGTTTTAGTCAAGTATTTTGGAGAGTTAGTCAACTAAAACAATTCAGATGACTAAAATACGACTAAAACTATAATGGCTTTTTATTCAAAAAACTATGACTAAAACTAAATTGAAATTTACCGCCAAAATTAACACTGATACACAGCTTACAGTGACACAAACACAGTAACACACAGTACAAAGGATTGGACTTTATGTTATTCCTTTAAATATATTTTAATTTAATTTTATATATTCTATACTTTTCTACTTTTTTCCTTTTTCATTCAGTGATTTGTTTTATTAGTCTTTTCACATAGGCGCAACCTGTTGTTTATACTATGTTTCCTTCTTGTTAGGGCTTAGAGGGGTCCCCAGATTTAGAGTTTGCTGCCTTCGGTCTCACGGCCAGCTCTTTACCTTTCCTTTGCTATTTTTGGGTTTACAGTAACACACATACACAAAATGTACAGACACTCAGCAGCGCCCCTGGCTGGGAAGGATTTAAACACAGCAACACACTCCGCTATGAGGGACAAAGACAGCAATAAAACCAAAGCATCCACTACTTACATTTCTGATGCAAACCTTGATATTTGACTAAATACGTCATGTCCCCCAGAGCTTAAAGAAATCTTGCGATCAGGTGAAACGTGTAATACCGCTGTAGCTTTCCTGATGTGGTTACTGCAAGTAGAGAAGAACCGCAGTTGGAGCAGACACTGGGCGATTACATAAAGCTACCGGTGCCGTAGGGGGGACATACATTGTACTCGTTACTTTGTGAACCCACACACTGAACTATAAGGCACCATAACACAGAACGAATTAAGTTCTCGGCAAGTGGAGAATTATTGGAATTGTAAAGCAAAAGTTTGAGAACTATGAACAGACATTCCTGATCCATGTACACATACTGCTTACTTTGTATCAGGTCAGCTGGAGTTACTAAACAGGAGGAGAGGAGTGGATAGGAAGGGCCTGAGGACCAGTATTGGGTGGTACCGATTAGTTGGATTTGGGAAATTAAAGTCCAACCAGCACTATTTCTAGTGTATTACAATTCTATTAGTGGTGCTAGTAAGATCGCAATAATCATTGATTTATTTGGGATTTATTGCTAATGTTTGGGACTAGTTAATAGAATCCTGGAACCTCAATGTCATTACTCAACTTAACGATACTCATTGTAAGTCCTAGAGTAATACATTGACCTTCACTCACCAGCTCAGCACTACGTGATGTAATAGATGTGCAGTTAGTGGGCCGAACATGACTCCCACAGGTTTTCCAGGAACACCCACCGGAGTGCTGCAGAGGAAAAAGGAAAAAAGTTAAATTGAGTCTCAGAACGTCATCTGTTCCAGACAGAGGATCATAACAATAATATTTAACCATTGATGGTTCATTCTTGTTTAAAAAGAAAAAAAAAAAAAGGTCCTGCTATTTCAATATCTCTTCCCAGCTTAATGGTATTGATCTCAAAAAGCATGAATCGTCCTTGTTGGGAATTGAATTGGATGCCGAGATACAAGGTTATTAGATAAAGTAAGAAATGCCAAGAATTTCAAGCAAATTTTAAAGTCATTTCCCACCCAATCTACATTCACCTTGCTTGCTGCTCGCGTAAGAGCCTGACTACCCCAGACAGACCATCACAGGAACATGAGGATTCTCTGCTACAGTCCTGCTTGGCCCTACAATCTGTGACAGTGTCTGTGAGGGTTACACATGAAGCCATACCTCCCAAGTGCCCCTATTTAGGAGGGACAGTCTCTATTTAGGACCCAACATCCCTCTGTCCCTCTTTTCTATCCTAATGTCCTTCTTTCCTAGAAGATTCATATTGTTGGTGTGTGAGTGTATATCAGAGCTCCACAGCAATAATACTCCCAGTAATGTGTCTGAGTGTATAACAGAGCTCCACAGTAATAATACTCCCAGTAATGTGTCTGAGTGTATAACAGAGCTCCACAGCAATAATACTCCCAGTAATGTGTCTGAGTGTATAACAGAGCTCCACAGCAATAATACTCCCAGTAATGTGTCTGAGTGTATAACAGAGCTCCACAGCAATAATTCTCCCAGTAATGTGTCTGAGTGTATAACATAGCTCCACAGCAATAATACTCCCAGTAATGTGTCTGAGTGTATAACAGAGCTCCCCAGCAATAATACTCCCAGTAATGTGTCTGAGTGTATAACAAAGCTCCACAGCAATAATACTCCCAGTAATGTGTCTGAGTGTATAACAGAGCTCCACAGTAATAATACTCCCAGTAATGTGTCTGAGTGTATAACAGAGCTCCACAGCAATAATACTCCAAGTAATGCGTCTGAGTGTATAACAGAGCTCCACAGCAATAATACTCCAAGTAATGCGTCTGAGTGTATAACAGAGCTCCACAGCAATAATACTCCCAGTAATGTGTCTGAGTGTATAACAGAGCTCCACAGCAATAATACTCCAAGTAATGTGTCTGAGTGTATAACAGAGCTCCACAGTAATAATACTCCCAGTAATGTGTCTGTGTGTAAATCACCTTAAAATATTCTCCGAACAGCCTACCCCTGGCCACATCACCACCCCTGAAAATAAATTGTCCCTGTTGTCTTTTTGAAAATCTTGAGAGGTATGTGGAGGCAAGAGCACTGTTTGGATCAGTAGACCCAATTGTAGCATGGCCCCACAATCTGGAATAGTCTGTGTATAGTGGGCACCCAGCAGGTAACTGTCCGGACTGATCACTGCCTATGGTGAATGGGTGACCAGGAACCGTCAGCCTGAGACACCCATTTGTAGAATACTGGCCATAAGAGAATGCTCTCCCCTCTTCTCTGTATCTCTAATCTTACATTGCCCCAATATTCCTTGATGTTGCAACCTGACTATTCATTTCCTTTTTAGCCATATCGGTTTGTATTGAACTCATTTACTGGAGCCTGCTGCCACCTAGTGGTATAATATTGTAAATCCTCTATTTTGGCCCTCTTTTTATTAACCAATACATTATTATTATTATTATTATTATTATTACTGGCATTTATAAAGCACCAACAAATTCCGCAGCGCTGTACAATTGGGAAAAAGACAAACACAATAAGAACAGACCGATACAACAGGTAGAGGGCCCTGCCCGTGAGCTTACAATCTTGAAGGCCATGTTTCCCACAATATAATGTGACATTGTCTATACATTTGTTAAACTCTGTTTTTCTAACTAATTTCTGAATTTTTTATTTATTTCATCTTTTTTTTTGGGGGGTGGGGGGGAACATAAGGGCCAGGGATGAAAGTAGGGGGGGGAGTTATAAAACATGTGTATATAACATACAAGATACACAATCCAGTGCACTCGCTCATACTGGCCCAGACTGATCCCCACACATACAGACTGACACACCCATACACACACAGACTGATCCCCCACACACACCGACCCCCCCACACCCATACAGACTGACCCCCCCCACACAGACCGACCTATACACACAGACTGACCTCCCCATACACACACTGACCCATACAGACTGACCCCCCAAACACACTGACCCATACAGACTGACCCACCCGCCCCCACACAGATTGACCTATACACATAAATTGACACCCCCCACACACATTAACTTACACTTACCTGTAGCTGCCTGGATGCCTCATTCCCCCCACACTCTGTGCAGAGCTGAGCTTTCTCTCCCTGTCTCTCCCCTGCGCTGCTCTCTGTGACCCAGAAGGAAGTCCTCCAAGTCTAGTCGATACTGGGAAAAGGTGGAACACAGTTCAACAGTGAGAGCGCTGCTGCACCTTATGAAGGGAGACGCAGTGCTCCCGACTTCAATTTCAAGTGAGGGGGCACAATGGAGGCACTGCATGATGTAGGAGGGCCAAGGCCCCCTTTGGCCCCCCCTAGTGATGCCACTGGCTAACACCAACCAGCTTATCATGCAGCAAGCCAGAAGGAAAGCCCTTTTCACTCATGTTGAGTGCTCGCTCAAAGCAGAAGTGAGGGCTTCTCATAGAAAAATAAAGGTTTTAATGTAACTGTCGCACGTGCGCCCTGTGTCCCAAAGCTTTTCCATGAGACGCATTGGATTGGCTAGGAGATTATCACAAAGCATTTGATTGGCCATTAGATCATGAGTGGCAATCTCCCAGGAGCGGTGCAGAGCTGTGGCGAGGAGACAGTTTCACTGCTGGAGTAGATTAGAAATAAGTAACCTTTGTTGGGGAGGGGTGGAGGCGCTCTAGATCTAAAATGAAGTAGGAATAATCTAACATTCGAAATTAATGCATTTTGGATTCCTCTTTTTATTAATACATAAATATTGGGGGTTGCGTATACTTTACAGCTTTGGGTTTTTGGGTTGCTCTCTAGCATTTATAAATCTTTCAATAAGCTTGAAATCCACTAGATTAGCATTATCAGAAGAAATTGTTTTGATGTGATAGAAAATTTAATTGGTTAACATTTCATATATGCCCAATATATATATTTATTATATATAGATGTGTCACAATAAAGCACACAATGTTGATTAATAACATGTGGGTTCCCCTCGTGCTGCCAAAACAGCTCTGATGATTGGAGTCATGGATTCCATAAGACCTCTGCTTAATCAGATTGAGATCTGGGGAATTTGGAGGCCAAGGCAACACCTTGAACTCTTTGTGATGTACCTTTCCTGAATCATTTTTGCAGTGTGGCAAGATGCATTACCCTGCTGAAAGGCAACTGCCATCAGGGAACACCACGGCCATGAAGGGGTGTTCGTGGCCTGGAACAATCTCTAGGTAGGTGGCACTTGTCAGAGGAACATCCACATGAATGTCAGGACCCAAGGTTTCCCAGCAGAACATTGCTCAGAGCATTACACTGCTTCCGCTGGCCTACCTTCTTCCCATGCGGCCATCTCTACCCCAGGTATACGACACACGTGCACCCAGCCACTCACTTGATCTTAAAGAAATCCTGATTCATCAGACAATGCAACCTTCTTCCTTTGCTCCATGGTCCAGTTCTAATGTCCCCATTTAAGGTGCTTTAAGCAGTGGACAGAAGATATCATTGGCACTCTGACCAGTCTGCAGCTACGCAACCACATACGCAACAAACTGCGATGCACTGTGTGCTCTGACAACCTTTCCATCATGGCCACCATTAAATTTTTCAGCAATTTGAGCTTTTTAGTAGCTCTTCTGTGTGATCGGAACAGACAATCTAGCCTTCTCTCCCCATGTGCGTCAATAAGCCTTGAGCGCACACGACCCTGACGCCATTTCAGCGGTTGTCTTTCCTTGCACCACTTTTGGTATGTACTAACCACTGCATATTGGGAACACCCCACACTTCACTAAATAGCAACTTCAATGCTCACAGATTTTAGTAGTTTTAGTTAAAAACACTTAATCTAAGTAAACATAATTTGGGTTTAGTTACTGTATAAGCCTGCCACAATATCAATGTACCCTATTCTTAGCAGGTCCTACTCTAGCTACCTAATGCCTGATCTTATGAGATTAATCCACTTACTTGGGAAATGCTTCGTACTGGCACTCTCTACCGATCAAGGTTAAATAGGGCCCTGGAATAAGGTCCAGCAGCATCCTTATATTTTATGCATGTTCAGGTGAGTGGCGTCCCTTGGTTTCATATGTATACATTAATAGGCTGGGGTTAAGTCAAAATATAAAGTGTTTGGGTGCAGACTGCGAATGAGAAATATTGTGTGGACGTGTGATTAAGGAGAAAACCATTGTTTCACTTCCTAAACACGTACTGAGCAGACGTCCATGTTTGGGAACTGAAACTTAGCATTTCAGTCCAAAAACGGTAGTGAAAATACAGAGTTACACAAATACATCTTTTTCATAAATGTACATAGAATCTACCCCAGAATAGCACCTGTTTTTGACTTGATTAATCTCCCCTATTAAGTTTCATTTGGAACGGAATTTACTAAATCTTTTCAATTTAAAGTCATTCAAGTAAGAGAAACAAGCAAACAAAAAAAAACAAATTGTTGCCATTTTTGGCTACTGATGAATAAGGCTCATCATGCCAAGGAAGTGGCTCTCCTGACTTCCTGCGTATCCAGTTCTGGAAGGACCACCATTGTTCAATGTGCTGCTCCAGTTTTATTTCAGTGGTAATTAGAGACAATAGCTGGTTAGGGGTTCTAGGCAATCACAAAACATTGGATTCTGACTTAAGTGATTTGCTGTCAGTGGGCTCCCTCTGAATGCCAACTGCGTATTGAGACAGTAAACAAAACTGGTTCATTAACAGTCAAGGCAAGCATAAACACAAGCTAATGTCTTCCAATGACGGACCAGACAGTTGGCATTCACTATAGGATCATTCTAATACTTTTCTTCTGGATATTCTGTGTATATTTAAAGGACCACTATAGTGCCAGGAAAACATACTCGTTTTCCTGGCACTATAGTGCCCTGAGGGTGCCCCTACCCTCAGGGACCCCCTCCCGCCAGGCTCTGGGGAGAGGAAGGGGTTAAACTTACCTCTTTCTCCAGCGCCGGGCGGGGAGCTCTCCTCCTCCTCTTCGGCTGAATGAGCATGCGCGGCAGGAGCTGAGCGCGCATTCAGCCAGTCTCATAGGAAAGCATTTGTACGCTTGCGTCTTCTCACTGTGATTTTCAATGAGACAGCCACTAGAGGCTGGATTAACCTATTTAGTGGTCCTTTATGGAAGCAGATCCTCAATAATTAAATGTTATGAATTAGTAAGTAATTGTGCATCTGCATGGTACATGTTCTCTCTGTAATGGCACAGGTGACCAAACACTATGTTGAGACCTGAGCGGGGACTAATCGAAGGGCAAGTTGCTGAGTTTCTCTAAGCTTCTGCCCATTCTCAGAGTTCTCATATTCTTGGTTTTTATCTCACAAACTTGATCTAAAGGTAACCAATGACTGGGAGATAAAACGTATTTTTACCTGTTCCAGATGGTTCATTTCAATGATCGCATATATTCCACCTATGGCTCTTTGTAAACATCTATAACCCCTTGTGACTATAAACCTCATTGGAAGAACCCTCCCCACATTTTCCAGGTCTTCGCTAACCCCATACCAAATGTATAATATCTGCCAACACCGGGAAAGAGTACTTGGAATTACCTTACAATAAAAAGACATTTTTAAATGTCCGTTCGAAAATCAGTGCTTAAAACGCACTAATAGAGAAACCAATGTTCTTCCTATTTGTAGGCAATTTAGACGAATGAATAATAAGAACTTTGTGGCTATGATTCCCTAGGCTTGGCTCTGTCAACATATATTAAATTGATTTATAGGATATCGGTACTCTGTACCAGTTACAGAAGGTATTTGTAGTTAATATCAGGGATAATTTGAAAGACTCGCTGAAGACTAATTGCTACAAACGACATGTCCTATTTAGTTATTTAGTTGCCATTTGTGGTGACGCACAGTGATAGGATACAAACAGCTGACTGCCACATTTGCTTTCCTGGGTATAAAGCCTATTAAGAAATCCAGCTTTTGGAATCACTATGGCAACCATCACACGATGCCAGTGTCCTAGATTTTTCCGGCAGCTTGTTCCTAAACTGACAGCAGTGATTTCTATGCTCCTTGAACCATATTTACTCCCCGTTTGGCTGCATCTGAGAGCATAACCGTTAGATGTTTTTAACCAAGCCTGGTTTTTGAACGTTTTCCCATTTGAACACACAAATAATTCCATGAGCGTAATTTATCGGCCTCAGATTCCCTGCATTTTAACACATAGATAATTAAGTCTTGGTCCTGATTTACATTCAGATCTTGCAGCGACTGATGGACTACACTTCCCATAATTCACTGTTAGCCATTGATTGGGCAGCCCCTATTCCCAATCCAGCTGTGCCCCTGCTTATAAAATAAATAAAACAAATTACTCTATTTATTGCAAAGAGCAAACGGTTTATATCTGTTTTTTGTTTTTTTTTATAAACCAGCTCTCCTGCATTCCTAACTGAAATTAATATGTCATAAAATAAATTATCCCTAAACCAATTTTCTACTCATTGAAATGTTTCGTGATTTCCAGTAAACAATATATAAATGTACTTTTGACAGATGAGGTTTAAATCCAATCTCTTCGAATAAGTTCCATCGCATAAACTAAGAGCTTGTCAGAGTGCAATATTTTATCAAACATTTCTAAATCTGTTTATACTCCTATTTGCAATCACCAATAATAAATCAGTCGATGACAGTCCTAGAGATTTTTGTTGTCATTTTGTTGATGTCTCTTTGTAAGAGGGCGCTGAGGTAGAGGGGCGAGCCTTGGTGCTAACCTTCCTCTAGGTATTTCTAAGGACTGGAGAAGTTGTAAGTATTAATATAAATTTTGCCTTGGCTATTCAGTCCTGTATCAGGCGTATATATGAAGTCAATGCTCTAGAACAGTGTGCCTTGCATATTGCGATATGTGCAAACCTAGATGCATTTATTACCCCTTGTCCTTTCCCGTCTTAGTACATATCTGCCTCAATCTGTATCCCAGGAACTCCAGTTTCATTTTCTTACCACTTTAGCATGTGTGATCTTTGCTCTGGTTAATTGGAGTGCCGTGCTATGCATAGTTTTAATTTGGGGCCAATTCGCCTTTATAAACGCACTATAATTCTGTATGCTTGCTTCCCTTATTTAAATTGCCTTACGTTTGATTTCTGGTTTTGCCACGAGTGTTGGCTTGACTCACACATACACAACATACGTTTTCGTAAGGCAACGGGTAACTCAGGGCGTGATCAAATGTGAAGGATAACGACCAATACAGAGAGACCTGGCTGGGCCTACAGAAGGTAAAACCCAAATACATCATGGCCTCTAAATGCCAGTATAGATTGCTGAGGATTTATTATAATGCTTTCAGATAACCTTAACACTTCATACAGAATGAAAAAAAGCTCTTCCTGATTCACCGCCGTTTGTTACAATGACATTAGTGTGAATAAACTAATTAGCAACTGCACACAGCTTCTCAAGGTAAATTTAGGAAGACAAAAATATCTATGGTGGCAGATCCAATTTATGTCATAGTCATCAAAGATACAATAAACCTGCTACGGTTCGCACTAAGAAATGTCAGGAAGACTCTAAATCATGATCCGGACGGATGGAGAAGGTTTTTCGCTGAATCCCTAGAGCCTGGGTCACAGTCTTCAACAGAAGAGCTGGTAAATATTTTTGATAGTTTTGAATTGTGTTTTCAGATGTTCGCAAGGAGTCAGTGGTGTCATTTATTCCATGATGCAGTACACAAGCCCCATCTGGTGGGAATCGAAAGTGGGGGGAAATGACAGCGATTGGACATATACATAAAGAGTTTGGACATGGGACACTGCATTTTACAAAATAATAAACGTCAAGATTGTTTTATATTTTCTTTTATCTGTTCTTAATGGGCAGATGTTTTTAAATTCTATATTGTGCAGTGTGGCATCACCGTGAAACGTGTGCACTATATCTCACACACCACAGAGGTAATCATAATTTGTGGGGTGGTAGTCCTACTCCCACACTGTGGCTACGATCGGTTCTCATATGCCAGGCAAAAGGCTGGGGAAAGAGAGACATGGAGTCTCACTCATTTTCCCTAGCATATCAATAAGGCAAGAGAAACAGGAGTATATATATACATATATATATATGTGTATGTGTGTACAATTCCACAAGAATATAAAAATTTCATTTAGGAGAATTTAATAAATGTTCAACTTTGGTATGATAAAAAGAAGAAAAGAAAAGAAAAATGGTGGTAAAACCCATGACTGGCAATAAATCCCTCAGACAATTACTATAAAACGGCTTTGATTTATAAATTTAAGAAATGGGTTTTTTTTTTAAAGGCCGTTTTTTCTGTTTTGGTTTTTAAAATAAACTGTATATGATTTCACAAATGTAACTGAAACGACTCACCTCCCACAAACTAGAAAAAGGGCAGATTTTCTTAAATCGCAAATGATTACTCAAAAGGTGAAGGAATGAACTATCAGCATGTTAGGATAGAGGGGGGAAGGGAGGAAGGGAGAAAATTGAATATTTTTTTTAAAATTTATATGTATACCCTACAAAATGATATATAATCTGGTTCATACCTTCCAACAATGAGAGATATGGATGCAGGAGGGGGAAAGGGGTACAAAGGGTTGGGGATTATTTTACTAATTGTATTATTCTGCATTCATAGACACATGCCGTCAGATGATAAGACATTTAGCAATGATGCCAGGCGTATCTGGGCTGTGTACAGTGTGCTTTCATTTAAAACAAAAACCTCCATGTAAATCATCATTTATAATGATATTCCTGTAAACCTCTAATAAGCAATTAAATTGAATCACCACTTCCTTCCTCATTTTGATAAAACCGAATATGTGAATGAAGGTTTATTTTTCAAGGTGACAAAAAGATAGAAAATAAGTTTAACGGAATTGGCAACAACCAAACACGAGGGATATTCAGGTGGTACCCCCCAATTGAGGACAATGATCAGGTCAAACCACATGTAGGGCTTCTACCTGCTATATATACAATATGGGCACAATTTACATAGGCAGACAGGATCTGAACGTTCTAGTTGCCAGAATAAAAGCTCAAATGGATTGGCGAACAGCTATAGTCAAATCACACCAGTTAAAAGTCGGTCTAAGCATTGAGAGTAATTACAGAGTACTTTCTGCATCATACACTTTGCAAATAAGAAATGTCTTTATGGTGGCCAAAGTGACCCTTTATTAGATACTTTTGTCTTGTTTCTTCTTTGAGATTGTAAGTAAGCTCCTGCAGTTAATGTTGTATGGTTTTATATATGTTTTCTATGTACTGTAAAGGTGTGCTATGTTTTTTTTATGAGTGCCCTAAAGCAATTAAAATATAACCTTTAATAGTCTAGTTAAAAAACAGTAAGTAGGTACCCACAAATAAATTATATTGATGATATATACAAGGCGATGAAATAAATGTGAACACTATTTACATAAAAGAAAGCCTAATATGTGGATCTACCTAATAGGTAAAAGTACTGTGTAACGAACTGATTCCTATAAATCTGACAACAGTGTTAAGCTATTGGTAACAAGTGTCAATGTAGGGAGACTGTAGCAACTTCCACTAGATCTATAGCTGGAAATAGGTCTACTAGTAGATTATAAAAAAAAAAAAAAGAAAATATGCTTAAAGGATTACTCCAACACTTACAACTTTTTTTTCTTCTTTAATCCCCTTTAGGCATTATTCATTGCCCCCCTCCCCCACCTCCCTTTCCAAAAAGTAAAAGTAAGTTTTTACTTACCTGGAATACAGCGTTAGGTGAAGCTCCTAGACCTGCTTTTAAAGCCTCCTCCTGACATCAAGGATTGCTCGGTCCAATAAAAAAAAGCTTCTCATGTGCACACTCTGAGCCGGCAAGGGGAGTGGGGAGGGAGACTAAAATACAATTGAAGAGAGGGGTTAGCGAGGTGGCAAGGCTGCAGGGAATGGAGGGGAAACACAAGATATAAGAGACGCAGATTAAGTCTGTCGCCGGCGTGCAGTGAGCGCTGATGACAGACATAAAATAAGCACAGAACTGACATTTTTCAGTCAGGAACAGAGTTCTGGCCTGCCAAAGTCACATATGCCAGAGGTGTAACTAGCCCCAAGTGGCACAAAAGTGCAAATATCTACGGATGTGTAGTGTTTCACGTAGAAACACTGCCCAGTCGGACTCCTACCACTACAACCACTTCAAAAAGCAGATGAGGTCATGGATGTTGGATTAACCATTTAATCGTTTGCCCTATCATTGGTTCTCACTCAGGAGCTCTCTTAAATTTAGCTCACTTGTGCTGTTACAGGAGGAATCCTAAATTAATCATTTAATTTGTTCGCACTTATCCAAATCCCAAACTGCCCAGGCAGGTCTCCACTGTATGCATCATATATCATCCCTATTCAATCTATATCTCTCATACATGAGGTTCAGAAGATGCTCTTGTAGGCATAGTGAACAAGGAGTTCACATCAGGATTACCCTTTAGAAATAGGAAGTTTAAAGAGATTAGTTCCCTCTAGTTACCCCCCTGAATTGACTTGCCTCTCTCGTTCACCCATTGTAGAGCTGTGTTATGTCCACAGTCGACCAGCACTGCGTATCATCCTTCCAAGCACCGAGTATCACAGAAGTAGTCTGGGGCCGATCTGTTACTGCAAAAATAAGTGGAAAACAATAGAATGTTCCATAACATTTGCCAATTTGTGTCTAGAATAGCCCCAGTTTGCCTTAACAGATCTCCCTCAAAGAGCTGTATGTACAAAGGAAATGGACCAACATCCCACCGCAAACGATTTTCCGAACATTTTACCGTGGTGGAAAGTTGCATTGAATGTTCATTCCCCATAATCTTACAATATTTATTCCCGTTATCCATTTTCTGATCTGGCTGGCATTACCACCCTTCTTCCAATAGCTGCCCAGTCCAGCTACTCAACAAGTTTCATTGTGTTTGAGCCTGGGTCTCTGATTTGAGGATATTGTGCCATAGTCCTCTTACTGTTCTGGACCATTCTTAAGATGACTAGAGGGCAGACATAGCTCAAGGCTTGGCTGCTATTCGTGGATTGTTAAACTACCCCTGGCATAGGAAACACAATGCACTCCTCCTGCATCGCGACCAGGCCAATACAAATTCAAGTTTTGTCTTTAACTGAGTTTGTAAATCTAATTAAATCTTGAATGCGATTTAAAAATATATATTTTCTCTCCAATGCTATCATTGAGGCTACGACAGTTAGTTCTGGGATAGCGCGTATTATGTACGTTCTTAGCAGTATGGAAAGTCATCCAAATCTTTGAATGTTTATAATGCTTGTGTGATTCTATCGGAGACACTTGATTGTCTAAATGGGCAAGTGAATAGGCTCCGTGGTCCACCACATCTTATTATTACCATTTTGTCCTTTGCTAATTTACAAATGTAACAGTAAATGGACTGGAATCCACAATCTTATATTGTATGAAAGTTTATATCTTATGAATTCAGGTCTCAAAGGCCATTTCCAGCTCTGGAAAGTTATACGGACGCCATGTTCCACCAGGCAGAGTACAGTGATCAGGACTTCTCAATATGCTTAATTCTGCCGGTGTCAAACTGCGTGCTGAGTTTGGGGTAAAATAAAAATCTCAAAATCCTCTGCTAGCCTGTGGGAGGGGACATGCCCCTGCTTTGTTCACACACAAAAACCACACAGATTTTGGTTCCCACAAGAACGTTAACAAATTAACAGAGCGCTTCAAACAGTAAAACATTTCGACTCTTAATTAGGTCAGAAGAGCGCCAAAGCTTTAAATATTTACAGCTGTTACACATATGTTTATTACAAAATTCTAAGAAACAAATGTTCAGTATTACTATCTCACATGAAGATGGCTTACTTGACTATTTTGGTAAAATCCCTGGCTGTTTTCAGAGAAACACTCTAGGTACCATAATCACTTCCTCTTATTAAAGTAGTTATGGTGCCTAGACACCCTTGGTGTTGTACCACTGTTTAGTGTTAAACCCATTTTGAATGCAGTGGTGATTGCTGCATTGCCCCCCTCTGCTGTTTTGGTTTGGTATCGCAAATGTTGCATTACACGTTCAGTGGGGGTGAGGGAAGACCCAATGGCAGACAGGGACCTTCATTCTCTGTTTAACTGTTTATCACTTAACATTGGAAGGGTAACATTGGACTCCTGGCACCTTAACCATTCAATTAGATGAAGTGGTTATGGTGCCTAGAGTGTACCTCTAAAGTACCACTGAGTATAGAATTTTAATCCACACACACGGTTTCGTGATTTTCTTTGCCATTCCTTACCATTTCTAATGACTAATATAATTACAGTCTTGTGTGAAGGGATGAGGCAAAGCTTTAGGAAATTTTAGATAAAACCGGCAAAAAATCAGGACTGCAATTCCTAACTTGGAACACTTGGGATATATGATATATTTGGAACAGAGATACAAGAATAACAAGCAGATGATAGAGTAATAAAGGACTCTGTGATGATAGAAATGCAATTCTGCGATTTTCTTGTCACTAACACCTGATGCTGCGTTCAGCCACGATTTTCAGTATGTTTTAGAGAATCTTATTGCTTAGAAACGTTAGTACTTATTGACACCCAGTAATGACTCACTCATCTAAGCATAGAACACTTTAATTACGCCACCAGTGTGGGTGGTGAGAAAGCACAAGGGTTTCAGTGCAGATCGAAGAGAGGGAATAATAAATGCATTAACCCTTCCAGTACCGAACCGAAAATATTTTCTGTAGCATTACGTTAACAGATACACAAGAGACACGCATTACAATTACCTGGCTTCAGTCACGGTGGAAACGTGCAGCTTTTTTAAGAGGAAATTGGAGATTACAAATAGAAAAAAGGACACTTTAAGCACTATAACCACAACACGACATTGCAGTGGTTATGGTGCCACGAGTCCCTAGGTCCTTTGCCAGGGTTACATGTGACACGTTTTATAAAAAGGTGGACTATTACCTGGCAAGTCACTAACCAGAAAAAATAGCCACCAACTCTGTCTCTACTGCAATTACCCAGAGTACACCGTCTGATCAGTAACTTATTTATAATTCATTCTAATAATTAATGTTAGTTATTTTATTTATGATTCCTTTTTGTAATGTTGTCATTATGACACGCAAACAACGCAGAATATTTCTTTATTTTCACTGTAAGGTGTGCCAATCAGCCACAAAATATTTGATGCCTGAATTCTATGCTTCCTGATCACAAAGAGGTTTTTTTTTGTCATTGTGTTGTGGGGGGTCAGTTATGCATGAATTACGTGAGAAGTTTATCAATTCTGTATTAAAGGAGTTTCAGAATTCCCGCTGCCATTCACACACACAGCTGGCTTTTTGTTCAGAAACTCAACCGAATTCCAACATATATTTTTCCAGTGTGAAAAGCTATGAGAACTAGCTTGTAGGCCTTTGCACAGGGAAATCTTCAACAGTTGGAAATGCCGGATCAAAGGCCACTTCTTTAGCATCAACAATGGCTAGAATCGGGAATAATTAAATAAGGTGTATTTAATAAACAGCAAATTCTCATGAACTGAAAGCTGATTTGCATCATGAGGATACAATTGGCAAGTTGGTACTGAAAGCTGTTTAGTCAAACCCAAAAGAGCATTTTGCACAGTAGTTAAAGGAAAAGAGCCAACATGTTTTATTATTGCTTAAAGGACCACTCTAGGCACCCAGACCACTTCAGCTTAATGAAGTGGTCTGGGTGCCAGGTCCAGCTAGGTTTAACCCATTTTTTCATAAACATAGCAGTTTCAGAGAAACTGCTATGTTTATGAATGGGTTAAGCCTTCCCCTATTTCCTCTAGTGGCTGTCTCATTGACAGCCACTAGAGGCGCTTGCGTGCTTCTCACTGTGATTTTCACAGTGAGAGCACGCCAGCGTCCATAGGAAAGCATTATGAATGCTTTCCTATGTGACCGGCTGAATGCGCGCGCAGCTCTTGCTGCGCGTGCGCATTCAGCCCAGGAGGAGGAACTGAGGAGGAGAGCTCCCCGCCCAACGCTGGAAAAAGGTAAGTTTAAACCCCTTTCCCCTTTCCAGAGCCGGGCGGGAGGGGGTCCCTGAGGGTGGGGGCACCCTCAGGGCACTATAGTACCAGGAAAACGAGTATGTTTTCCTGGCACTATAGTGGTCCTTTAATATAAAAGAGTGCATGTAATATAGGAATGCATGCAGTTAATACCCATTTTAGTGCATTTCCTGGCTCTGTGCAGGCGGCCATTTTTACCCTCTTTGGTCATAGCCACCACTTATCAGCTATCACATTCACAATTTAAAGGTCTAAAAGTGTCTAAGAATTTTTGGAGATGCCATGTTCTTACTGATGACTTCAGGATTTGTGAACATGCAAATGGTGTGAACATGGTTTCTATCATAATGGGAATCAACACAATGAAGGAGCAGACTATATTTAATAGAAGAAAAACTACCACAACAAGAGGACATAGTCTTAAATTAGAGGGGCAAAGGTTTTAAAAATAATTTTAGAAAGTGTTACTTTACTGAGAGGGTAGTGAATGCATGGAATAGCCTTCCAGCTGAGGTTAACACAGTAAAGGAGTTTAAGCATGCGTGGGATAGGCATAAGGCTATCCTAACTATAAGATAAGGCCAGGGAGTAATGAAAATATTTAGAAAATTAGGCAGACTAGATGGCCAAATGGTTCTTATCTGCCATCACATTCTATGTTTCTATCACTTTCTCTAACCTGCATGGTTTTTGGTTATATAAGCAGTGCTTCTAAACAAAGAGATATGAAAATGGCAGTTATGAGATGTACTGAAAAAAATTGAATTCTAAATAAAAAAACAAGCGAGAGATTCCCTTTCACTACTTACATGGTCATTCAATGTGAATTGTAGGTACTTCAAAGAGAATTTAAAATAACGAGCCAAGTGACCCTGACACCATCCAACAGTAAATAGTCAAACTGTTTTCAAATAGTTTGACAGTTACCTGGGTACCCCGAAATGGATGTCTCCTTTCCACAATAGGTGGAATATATTTAACAGCATGACAGCTGTATCCCTAAACTGAAAATGATCAAATTATTGTTAAACCATAGAGTACATGATACAAAAATGGGCCTCTTATGACGCTGTAATCTGCTGTCCTTTGTCACCTGATGTGACCTTCTATTTATGAAAACTCACAATAAAAAGATTAAAAAGCGATTACATTTTACAGAAAATTTCATTTGTACACATTTTCCATAGATACCATGTGTAGAAATGTACTATAAAGCGTGCAATGAGTTATAAATCACGTAATATGTAAATATATGCATTTGTGATCTTGTTGACCTATATAAATGTCCTTCACCAGATTGTGTGATTTTGCCGGAGTCGATGAAGTGGATGATTAGGCTAGCTTTCATCTATTTGAAATTCTTAGTGTGGTCATTACACAAACAGCCCTTCATCATTTCGAAGACATTGCTCTGCATGGCCTGTAATTACAGTGTTCAGCTCACAGTCGGTGAGCCATAAAGAAATTAATTCCCTGCCAAACGTCACCCGAGGCCACTCTGCGTACTATTTACAGTAATAAAATGTGATCTGGAAGGAGGACCCTGCATTGACTTTTACTATTTACAAGATGTTTATTAGAGAATACTGATTAAATAGTCCGCAGCCAGCAGAGCACTGCCATGGGCTTAATAACCAGACTTCACGCAAGACAAATGATGGCGTGACGGCTAACCCAGAAACTGCACATACGTCTGTGAACTACATTTACCAGGAGGCTCGGCCAGCTTCCAGGCATACTGAGCCTCTAGAGAAATGTAGTTACAGCTAGTGCAGGGTCACAGGCTTGATAACTAGACATCTAAATACAATGAACCTCAACTATATGTTTCAACTATATTTCCCATAAGGCTCTGCTGTCAGGAATGGAGATACCCTAACATGGAATCCTAAAGGTAACAGTAAAGGAACACGTACCGGTCCTTAGAGTGTCCTGGCTAGTACCTGAGACAGATAAATAAAATGTCTGCAAGCAGACAGAGAGTGAATGAGAGACAGACTGAGGTCTAGGATAACTGAAATACACAGAATAGACAGTCAGGTCGAGGTCAGGATAACGAGAGAAGGAATGGTTAAAGATTCGAGGTCATAAAACCGTAAATCCAATAAACCAAAACTACACATTAAACATGTATTAAGTCTCTATTTTAATTAGTATCAGGACGGGCTGAAGACACATTGCAGCCTGGATCCAAGGGTCCAACATTGCACTGATCCACCAAACCCCAGAATAAACATGTACCCAGTCTAATGCAACAACAGTTAGAGTGACATAAATTGTTGATATAGCTGCCATATCCATAACAACATTGTGAGTTTCAAAACCCCACGGCAACCACCTTTGATATTCAAAAAAATTGCCATTCTCTTAGTGGAGAAAAATAAAAATATACATGAGAGGATTTTAAATATTTACATTTTGATTGTGGTGATACTTTGACCCATCTGGGGTAGTAGAAGTGGGCCTCAGGTGATTGTGCTGACTAAGAACATAGAGCAGGGTCGTACCTTCTAATTCGGGGGAAGGAATACAAGACAGGTGGGGGCTAGTACAGGGTGCTGAACTGATATGACATTGGGGTTATTCCCAGAAATTAAACCCCAGCTAGTGCTGCCAAAGGGGATATTTATACCCTGCTTTTTGCTCTGAACATTGAGTGACAAAAGCTTCCTTAGGCAGCTACCAGGGCCGGGCTGTGTGTAAGGGTGCTGTGTGTGTGTGAGAGAGGGTGCTGTGTTATAGTGTATGTGAGGGGTGCAGTGTATGAGGGTGCTGTGTGTGTGTGTAAGGGGTGCGGTGTGTGTATGTGAGGGGCACAGTGTGTGAGGTGTACTGTGTGTGTGTGTATGTGAGGGGTGCAGTGTGTGAGGAATGCTGTGTGTGTGTGTGTGTTAGAGAGGGTGCTGTATGTGAGGGTGCTGTGTGTGTGTGTGTGTGTTAGGGGTGCAGTGTGTGAGTGTGCTGTGTGTGTATGTGAGGGGTGTTGTGTGTGTGTAAGGGCGCTGTGTGTGTGAGTGGTGCAGTGTGTGAGGGTGCGGTTTGTGTGTGTGTGAGGGGCGCTGTGTGTGTAAGTGGTGCAGTGTGTGAGGGTGCGGTTTGTTTGCGTGTGAGGGGCGCTGTGTGTGTGAGTGTGCTTTGTGTGTATGTGAGGGGTGGTGTGTGTGTGAGTGGTGCAGTGTGTGAAGGTGCGGTTTGTGTGTGTGTGTGAGGGGCGCTGTGTGTGTAAGTGGTGCAGTGTGTGAGGGTGCGGTTGTTTGTGTGTGAGGGGCGCTGTGTGTGAGTGGTGCAGTGTGTGAGGGTACGGTTTGTGCATGTGTGAGGGGCGCTGTGTGTGAAGTTTCTCCCTATGAACATTTATATAACTGCAGTTTTTTTTAGCATCACTCCAATGGCAATTAAAGTGTAAGCTCACCTGCCACATCAAGGCAAACCTCTTATGTGATTCCTACACTAACAATTCACCTTGCTTCCTTCAGCCATAAGGTATAGTCTCTAATGAGACAGAGAGGGGTATTTCACATGCCTCGGACACTGCACTAGGCAAGAAATACAAGCCATTTCAGCCCATTCATTAGCATTTCAGTAAAGCCGCCCGCCCCATGTGTTCCTTTTTCTGTGGTTTACAAAAATACCCCTCTATGTCTCGTTCTTTTAGCGGAAAGAGGATTTGCCCTGACGTTGCAGGTGGCCAAATACCTCCAATTGTTTAAATGTGCATAGCGATTGGAATAGTGTACAAGTAATGTATTTATTTGGTTTTTTATGATATTTTCTTTCACATATCTGCTTATATCCTTTAGACTGTAAGCTCACTAGCAATCTCGCTTAGTACAACAAGAATAAAAAGAAGGGGAGATACGGCGCTAACTCCAAAGGCAGCAGAATAAGATCTGTTACTTGGATACCCCAATAACCCAAGAGGAACAAGGACAAAATACAGACTGCGCCAAATAAGAAATACTACATAATCTCATACAGATATATATGTACACACAATATTATATATAAATATATTGAGATATAACAATAATAAACAGCCCCAGCAGAAAAAAAAAGTATTTTTTGGAGATAATAACCTTTTGGAGGTCAGTCAGATGAGGAATTCTGTTTTTGGTGTCTCATATGAAATAAAACACAAAAGAAACCACCAATAGTGTAATCCAGTATATACAATGTTTTAGGTAAAATTAAGATAAAATACACTCACAAGGGGAGAGCTTCTATTTAGCCATCAGATAGGGCAATCCCCGCTCACGGATAAACCTGGAGCTGTCCTCTTTAGATGTTCACAATGTAAACAGCATATGAAAGGAAGAAAACGAGATATAGTGCTCACTGTTTCAAATAAAAGTACTTTAAAAAAAATAAAAATACATAAAATCTACTTACAATTTCAAGAGCACCTTTTGCTCAATGATGGCAGCTTGGGTGGTATGATCCCCATCTGTCTGCTGGGACTCTCTATTATTGCTATATCTCAATATATTGTGTGTGTATATATCTGTATAACATTATGTAGTTTCTTATTGGGTGCAGTCTGTTTTAATCTAGCTTAGTATTTGGGGCTGTAAATGCTAGGTTTCAGCACACAGCAGGGTTTCCTGTATTCGTTTGCCTATACTGTAGTGTCTATCCCGATTGAACAGCTTTGTGGAAGTTGTTGGTATTTTTGAAATGTCAGAATAATAATAGCTTTAGCAAATATCAAGTTCTAGGTCCAACCCCTCACTAAGAGATATCTCTTATCTTTCTCCTTACCCATCCAAATACTTCTGCAATAAAGGCCTGTTGACTAACGCATTCTTTTTAAACCCCCATTTACTGATAGTCACAGATTACTGTCAAAGATCTACTGTGTTTCCGTGAAATTAAGGGGGCTTAATTGCTCCTAATATAAGCCCCACCCTGAAAATAAGTCCTAGTCATTCGATAATCTATGTTCGGGGAATTTCCCACAAAATATATACGCAAGATTCCATTTGCAAGTGAACTAATCTATGTTCGGGGAAGTTTCCCCTAACATAGCTTTGCAGGATTCCATGCCCTAATGAATTGGGTCTATGTTCAGGGGAATTCCTACTTTCTAGCACACGTTTTCCCCCGAAATAAGACCTCCCTCGAAAATAAGCCCTAATGGGATTATTATAAGACCACCTCTTAGCTCTTATTTTCGGGGAAACACGGTAAAAAAATTGGGTCCATCCTGCAGTGTCCCTTCAAGATGATTCATAGAATACATTTTGGGGTCTATTGATTATATAGCAAGTTGTGGCAAGTTGGAAAGGGACTCAGACAATGTACACTTACAGAGCCAAGATAGAAAATAATAAAATCTCAGAACGGGCTGGGTTTAAGATTTTGTCTAAAATGGCTCTGTTAGCCTATATTTTTTTACAAGTCGGCTGTCAACTCACAACAGTTCTGTTTAGTGAACAGACCTCTTTGTTTTGCTTAGTCATTCGGTTCCTTGAGAGTGCTACCATGCATAATAAAACAGACGCACCAGGAATTCGCAGTGCTTTTAGAATTCAGGTCATGCCTGCGCATCACCAGAACGAGAAGAGCAGTCTTCCAAAAGACCTACCTCTGGCTGTTCAAGAATACCAAAATCTGAACAGAAAGTTACATTGTTTTCTAAACTTTATTTTTTATTTTTTATTTTAATGGTAGTCTAAAAAAAATGTTAAACTTTCACTGCTCGAAGGTAAGGTCTGCAGTGAACCAGGGAGCACTGAAATCCCCTCTGGCAGTGAATGGCTTAAATGGATTGGTACGGTGGATAAACGTACAGCGCACCTTTTTGTGAAATGAAGTTACTAATTTTGTTGAACTTGATATCAATATACAGGCACTGCGTTAAAGTGGCACTCTATGTACCATAACCACTACAGACAAGCATGCGCGTGGCTTCTTCTCCCAGTTATGTGTCGCACCATTTAAGCAGTTTGACACAAATGGAGGGTGACAGCCTGCACTTATTGTAACTTAAGGACGTTAAATTTGAAATTCTCATGTTAGTAAATAACTTGAAAGCCTTCGGATATGTTATGTGAGCTCTTTAAATTTGTAAAAACAATTCTGTAAACATGTTATTTAATGCAGAAGAGGCAGATCATTGTGATTTGCTGAAAATGAGAGATCATCATAACTATATTTAATTATGACATTTTTAATTGCTACATTAAACAACTGTTACATTTATACCCCTTTAAAAAATAAATATTTCTGCTGTCTTTATTTTCATCTATTTCAGTGGGATCACATGTACTGCGTTATCTTGGGGTAATGTTACATATTACACAATAAGCATTACTGACAGAATCACTACACGGCTTCAGACAGTAGCTGAACTATAGAATGTGGGATTCTGGGTAACATTCCTCAGAATTACAACATTTTGTTATATTATCTTTATTCCCACCAGCTCCTGACGCTCCCTTAAACAGACACTGCACCTTCTATGTCACAGAGAACTGAGATTCGCTTAATTTATATTTTAATAGAAATACATACTTTTGTCCCTGGTTTCCCAACAGAGAAGCTGCGTAACCAGCTGGGATTAACATGCCCTAATCACAGAATATGCCGTCAGTGATTGAAAGATCAAATGCCAATAAAACGAGGGTGTAAAAAATAATAATTTTTTGCAATTTTGTGTGCCTCCAAGGCACTGCGTTATAGGTCTGTACACCAGGGGGCAGAGTTGCTACATGTTTAATGCTGCCCGCCACTTCTTCAAACACTCAGAGACAATGGCTACATGCCTTGCAGACAACACACTACTGGGGCCCGTCTGTTCTCACGTAATTTTATCAAGCCTTTATATCCAGCGTCTTACAAAATGTACATACTCTTATTATTGCCATTGGATTAAAATCAAACTATTAAATAAAATTTTCATCTGAACTAATGTTGCAAAGGCAAAGTCACATGATAAGTTATTATAATTTATAAAGTGCCAACAAATTCCGCAGCGCTGTACAATGATCACGCAGGACTGCTAGATCGGCCATATTTTCTAGAAGCCACTTTTCGAAAACAGTAAAAAACAAAACGACGTATTTCACATTTGCATATTGTCAATACACAGAGGTATTTTTGGAACCAACGTCATCCTCCCCAACACACACAGAAACACACCTTGGTTCATCGTCTTATTTCATGTGAGGGGCGTATGAAATCTAAATATTGCTGGGCAGCACCACTCACGAATCGACCATCAGAAGGCAGAATAATGTGTGTCTGCAAACCCCTCTGCACCTGAAATAAAACCATAGTTCATTCAGATTGTCTATTTTTTGTCACTTGGAACATGTGTTAATATTTATTGTCATCATAAAAAAAAAAAAAAACGACATAATATTGGGGAAAGGGGTACAGAAGGTAAGGAGGGAGAGGGGTTTAAATTGGAGTAACACACATAGGGTACCATAAGGCCTAATGGTAAATCATAGAAATAAAGGAAATTTCTCCGAATTACGAGTGTAGCAGTGACGCCATTACTGAGATTGCAACAAATCACACATGAGCATTATAGTAAGGGGAGAACCTCAGAATTACAGATTACAAACATCTTGTTTGGTTTATATATGCAATCTGTAAGATCAGACCCTTAAACAGACATTCCATTCCTTACATTTACCTCATAGCTGCCTAGTAGTTAAACATTGTGGAGTAAACGCCCATCTTATATTGTCTACTCGGTCGACATGACTTGCACTATAGATCGTGATTGAAGACCAATAGACGCACACTGTGGCTATAATTTTGCAGAAAAGTTACTTCCTTGTTTCAAACAGTTTAGGTCACAAATTCTAATGACACTTTTTTTTAAATATTACTGAAAATAGAAGATTACATTTAATATATGGGGTTATTTACTGAAGTGAACATTTTAAGTGAATTCAAAGAGAATTTAAAATTTTAGGCCAAAAATTGCCCAGCTGGAAGCATAGCGGACTTAGTGAATTTTTCTATTTTGGCTTATTTTGACCTGAAATTCTCAGTTTAATGAATAACTCTAATAGTCTTGTTGCGTATTATTTTGTAATATATACATACCCTTTATATCTTATTACAGTGTATCTCCCGACTTACCCCTGCTCTGTGTGTGCCGGCCATCTTTAGTATATCCCATTACAGTGTATCTCCTGGCTTACCTCTGCTCTGTATGGGGGCCATCTTTAGTATATCCCATTACAGTGTATCTCCTGGCTTACCTCTGCTCTGTGTGGGGGCCATCTTTAGTATATCACATTACAGTGTATCTCCTGGCTTACCCCTGCTCTGTGTGGGGCAGCCATCTTTAGTATATCTCATTACAGTGTATCTCCTGGCTTACCCCTGCTCTGTATGGGGGCCATCTTTAGTATATCCCATTACAGTGTATCTCCTGGCTTACCCCTGATCTGTGTGGGGCGGCCATCTTTAGTATATCCCATTACATTGTATCTCCTGGCTTACCCCTGCTCTGTGTGGCGGCCATCTTTAGTATATCCCATTACAGTGTATCTCCTGGCTTACCCCTGATCTGTGTGGGGCAGCCATCTTTAGTATATCCCATTACAGTGTATCTCCTGGCTTACCCCTGCTCTGTGTGGGGGCCATCTTTAGTATATCCCATTACATTGTATCTCCTGACTTACCCCTGCTCTGTGTGGTGGCCATCTTTAGTATGTCCCATTACAGTGTATCTCCTGGCTTACCCCTGCTCTGTGTGGTGGCCATCTTTAGTATATCCCATTACAGTGTATCTCCTGGCTTACCCCTGCTCTGTGTGTGGCGGCTATCTTCAGTATATCCCATTACATTGTATCTCCTGGCTTACCCCTGCTCTGTGTGGTGGCCATCTTTAGTATATCCCATTACATTGTATCTCCTGGCTTACCCCTGCTCTGTGTGGGGCAGCCATCTTAAGTATATCCCATTACATTGTATCTCCTGGCTTACCCCTGCTCTGTGTGGGGCGGCCATCTTTAGTATATCCCATTGCATTGTATTTCCTGGCTTACCCCTGCTCTGTGTGGGGGCCATCTTTAGTATATCACATTACAGTGTATCTCCTGGCTTACCCCTGCTCTGTGCGTGGCGGCCATCTTTAGTATATCCCATTACAGTGTATCTCCTGGCTTACCCCTGCTCTGTATGGGGGCCATCTTTAGTATATCCCATTACAGTGTATCTCCTGGCTTTACCCCTGCTCTGTGCGTGGCGGCCATCTTTAGTATATCCCATTACAGTGTATCTCCTGGCTTACCCCTGCTCTGTATGGGGGCCATCTTTAGTATATCCAATTACATTGTATCTCCTGGCTTACCTCTGCTCTGTGTGGGGCAGCCATCTTTAGTATATCCCATTACACTGTATCTCATGGCTTACCCCTGCTCTGTGTGGGGCGGCCATCTTTAGTATATCCCATTGCATTGTATTTCCTGGCTTACCCCTGCTCTGTGTGGTAGCCATCTTTAGTATATCCCATTACAGTGTATCTCCTGGCTTACCCCTGCTCTGTGTGGTGGCCATCTTTAATATATCCCATTACAGTGTATCTCCTGGCTTACCCCTGCTCTGTGCGTGGCGGCCATCTTTAGTATATCCCATTACAGTGTATCTCCTGGCTTACCCCTGCTCTGTATGGGGCAGCCATCTTTAGTATATCCCATTACAGTGTATCTCCTGGCTTACCCCTGCTCTGTGTGGTGGCCATCTTTAGTATATCCCATTACATTGTATCTCCTGGCTTACCCCTGCTCTGTGTGGGGGCCATCTTTAGTATATCCCATTACATTGTATCTCCTGGCTTACCCCTGCTCTGTGTGGGGGCCATCTTTAGTATATGTCATTACATTGTATCTCCTGGCTTACCCCTGCTCTGTGTGGTGGCCATCTTTAGTATATCCCATTACAGTGTATCTCCTGGCTTACCCCTGCTCTGTGTGGGGCAGCCATCTTTAGTATATCTCATTATATTGTATCTCCTGGCTTACTCCTGCTCTGTGTGGCTGCCATCTTTAGTATATCTCATTACAGTGTATCTCCTGGCTTACCCCTGCTCTGTGTGGGGTGGCCATCTTTAGTATATCCCATTACATTGTATTTCCTGGCTTACCCCTGCTCTGTGTGGGGCAGCCATCTTTAGTATATCTCATTATATTGTATCTCCTGGCTTACTCCTGCTCTGTGTGGCTGCCATCTTTAGTATATCTCATTACATTGTATCTCCTGGCTTACCCCCTGCTCTGTTGGGCGGCCATCTTTAGTATATCACATTACATTGTATCTCCTGGCTTACACCTGCTCTGTGTGGGGCGGCCATCTTTAGTATATCCCATTACATTGTATCTCCTGGCTTACCCCTGCTCTGTATGGGGGCCATCTTTAGTATATCTCATTACAGTGTATCTCCTGGCTTACCCCTGCTCTGTGTGGGGGCCATCTTTAGTATATCCCATTACATTGTATCTCCTGGCTTACCCCTGCTCTGTGTGGGGGCCATCTTTAGTATATGTCATTACATTGTATCTCCTGGCTTACCCCTGCTCTGTGTGGTGGCCATCTTTAGTATATCCCATTACAGTGTATCTCCTGGCTTACCCCTGCTCTGTGTGGGGCAGCCATCTTTAGTATATCTCATTATATTGTATCTCCTGGCTTACTCCTGCTCTGTGTGGCTGCCATCTTTAGTATATCTCATTACAGTGTATCTCCTGGCTTACCCCTGCTCTGTGTGGGGTGGCCATCTTTAGTATATCCCATTACATTGTATTTCCTGGCTTACCCCTGCTCTGTGTGGGGCAGCCATCTTTAGTATATCTCATTATATTGTATCTCCTGGCTTACTCCTGCTCTGTGTGGCTGCCATCTTTAGTATATCTCATTACATTGTATCTCCTGGCTTACCCCCTGCTCTGTTGGGCGGCCATCTTTAGTATATCACATTACATTGTATCTCCTGGCTTACACCTGCTCTGTGTGGGGCGGCCATCTTTAGTATATCCCATTACATTGTATCTCCTGGCTTACCCCTGCTCTGTATGGGGCAGCCATCTTTAGTATATCTCATTACAGTGTATCTCCTGGCTTACCCCGGCTCTGTGTGGGGCAGCCATCTTTAGTAGATACCATTACATTGTATCTCCTGGCTTACCCCCTGCTCTGTTGGGCGGCCATCTTTAGTATATCACATTACATTGTATCTCCTGGCTTACACCTGCTCTGTGTGGGGCGGCCATCTTTAGTATATCCCATTACATTGTATCTCCTGGCTTACCCCTGCTCTGTATGGGGGCCATCTTTAGTATATCTCATTACAGTGTATCTCCTGGCTTACCCCTGCTCTGTGTGGGGGCCATCTTTAGTATATCCCATTACATTGTATCTCCTGGCTTACCCCTGCTCTGTGTGGGGCAGCCATCTTTAGTATATCACATTACAGTGTATCTCCTGGCTTACACCTGCTCTGTGTGGGGCGGCCATCTTTAGTATATCCCATTACAGTGTATCTCCTGGCTTACCCCTGCTCCGTGTGGGGCGGCCATCTTTAGTATATCCCATTACATTGTATCTCCTGGCTTACCCCTGCTCTGTATGGGGGCCATCTTTAGTATATCCCATTACAGTGTATCTCCTGGCTTACCCCTGCTCTGTGTGTGGGCCATCTTTAGTATATCCCATTACATTGCATCTCCTGGCTTACCCCTGCTCTGTGTGGGGCGGCCATCTTTAGTATATCCCATTACATTGTATCTCCTGGCTTACCCCTGCTCTGTGTGGGGCGGCCATCTTTAGTATATCAAATTTTTGAGATTCCCACCGCCTGCGCATGATGTCATGATCATACACTATTTTCAGTAGGTGCATGTCAGATAAACAATGCTTCTCATCAAGAAGGACTTAAAATGGCAGCCACCGGCCATGTTGCTGTGGGGGGTAAGAGCTATGAATGAGGTCTCCGTAGCCCCAGATCTCAGGTGTGGTGGGGAAGATGCAGTGCCACAAATACATGTGATTAGTTTATCTCCATGCTGCTCTCCCTCCTGGTCTCTACGTTAAATCGCGCCAGTTACAGAAGCGTCACACTAGCACATCAGATAGAGATTATTATTAGTATGTATATAGCACCAACATATTTCGCAGCGCAGTGAAAATGTGATACTCTAACCATGTCCTCCATCTCTATCACTGGGCTGCTCCCGGACGAGACTGAACAAGGAGACCTCAAGGAAGAGCAACCTGTCTATGCGTACCTTTGTCTGTGGTTTTCTACATAATCCTGTCTGTGTGTGCATTATGTCTGCATGTATTTGTGTCTATGCATGTCTGTATATGCTTGTCTGCGAGTGTCTGTGTCAATGTATGCCTTTCTGTGTTTGACTGTGTCTTTATATGCGTATGTATGCCTGTATGTGCCTAGCAGCACCTGTGTATCTATGTCTTTATGTATGCCTGTAAGTAGCCAGCTGTGAGTGTGTGTCTTTATGTATGTAAGTGTGAGTGTGTGTCTTTATGTATGTATATGTGAGTGTGTGTCTTTATGTATGTATCTGTAAGAGTTGAGAGGGCTATATTGCAGTTGTTACGGGATGGAATTTGTGATGGACAAGGTGTGGGGTTTTGAGGAGAGTTCACTAAATTTTATTTTGCGCTCAGGCCGTGCCACCATAAAGCAAGAGAACGTCAGGAAATGCACTCTAAAAAGGTATTTACATATATTTGTATCTGTTAAAAATGAATACATATAATAAATTTACATATATAATAAAAAATGATCCTGAAGAAAGCCCCGGACGTGGGCTGAAATGTCGATTTTATGGAATAACTCAAATAAAGATTTCTACTTTTTACTACAAGACCGTGAGTGCTAGCCCATGTTTAATATAATTTTTGTATATTTTGGCTGTGGCTATTTCAGCACCCGGCACTGAATGTTGAGCAAAAGTTTTGCAAAGTTTTGCAGGGTTAATCTGAGTGCAAGGACTGGTCTGTCTTTTTAATAAAAAATGAGCACAGGTTTTCATTTAACCAGGCGCCAGCAGTGTTGGGTTTTTGTTACCAATGAAATGAGGATTTCACTGGATTCTATCCCAGAAGAAGTGGAAAGAATATATTCATATTGGAGAGGGGTGCGGTCTATGAGAAACTCTGGACGATGAACAATATTACTGTATTATGAGTAACTTCCTCGAAAAGCTAGCCCCGTCATCCACACATGTCTTGTCCACATTAAAAGATACAATGAAGATAATAGCATTCAATATAGAACTTAGCTTATAGCTTTGTTAGTCTCACACAGCAGTTGGTCATTTACTGCCACCGTCCCTGTGAGTGTAATTGGAAGGGCACAACCCACAATTTGAAATCTTACAAATTAATAGCAATAATCTACAGTACAGAAAGTTCAGAAAGCTCAAGATTTGTCTCAGAAATGATATGAAACGACAGGTGTCAGCTGAAGGGCAGAGAGGGACCGGGGTCTGGCTGTTCACAGCAACCCCAGCTGCTCTCGAACTTCAAGAAGAATCTTTAATGAGCACCAGTTCTCTTAAGCCGTTTTTTGGTCTCCTTAGAAACAAGCTTTTCATCCATTGTGCTCCAACCTTACATGTCGCCCCACAGAAAGAGCCATCACTCTTTAAACATTCAGTCTCAGAACAATACAGGCAGCAATATATTCAGACTAAACTCCATCCAACTGAACTTTCTAGTCAACTGAATTAAGGCCGTTCTATAAAGCCAACCATTGAAATTCTAACTGCTGTGTGATGATAACTCTCAGAACATTCAGCCAGATTCTGACACAGGCACACAACGCCCTTAGATCCCATGGATTACAGCCGTTGCGGGACACAACACCCAGTTTCAGCCAGCCAGAGTATGTACCCACTCCACCTGCTGTGGAATTATTTTGCCACTATAGCTACTGCAGATACTGCTCCCAACAAGCTCAGTCAACCATCGGCACTAAGGCTGCTGTGAATTAGAGAAATTTAATGGATTTTCTTTTCCACAACAGTGAAATGACATAAACAAATGGACAATCTCTGTTCCATAATTTCCTTAAAAAACTTCCAAATTGGCACACTAAAAAAATGATGTTTATCTATAAGCAAAAAACTATTTTCCTCAATCTTCTGTACAGCTTTTTGCTTGCAACCAAGTCTTAGTACAATATATACACACATAAATAAGAAACTTTATAAAACATCCAATACAGTGGGATTCTGTTAGTAATGCACAGATTCATGAACGTGGAGACAATATTAATTATTGAAAGCGATTTAAAGACCGTGACAGCAGTGCGTTTAGGTTTACTTTATCAGGACGTCACATGTTTATTTCACCACCCACAAAAACTGGAAACCCATAGGCTGGATTTGGTCCATAACTAGACAATCCAAGAATTCCTGTGTGTTCCTAATAATCCAACACTATTTATCATGGTTGGCTTTACACTAAGAGGTTTACGAATCCTCTGCCACACACCTTGACACAGCTGATGTAAGGCCATCTTCAACAAGATCTGGATTTCTTTTATTTTTCTTTGAGGATGTTAGGAGACAAGTGCCGTTTGTCATCTCTGTTTTATACACATATACTATATGGACAAACTTATTGGGACACATCTCTTAAATATTGAATTCAGGTCTTATAATCAAACCAGTTGCCAGAGGTGTATAAAATGAAGCACCAAGCGTTGCAGTCTGCATTTACAAACTTTTGTGGAAAATGGGTCATTTAAAGAGCTCAGTGAATTCAAGCGTAGCACTGTGATAGGATACAACCATTGCAATAAGTCAGTTTGTAAATATATCTAGTTTGCTCGATATTCCATTGTCAACTGTAAGTGGTATTATTGGAAAGTGAAAGTGTTTAGTTACAACAGCAACTCAGCCACAAATGGGAAACCATGAAAAGTGATAGGACGGGATCACCGAGTGCTTAGGCGCATTGTGCGTAAAAGTCACCAACGGTCTGCTGATTCCATAGCTGAAAGTTCCAAACTTCCACTAACGTTAATATCAGCAAGAAAACTGTGCATGGGCGCTCCACAGAATGGGTTTCCATGGCTGAGCAGCTGCATGCAAGCCTCACATCACCAAGTACAATGCCAAGCGTTGGATCAAGAGGTGTGAAGCACGCAGCCACTGGACTGTGGAGCAGTGGAAACGTGTTCCATGGAGTAACAAATCACGCTTCTCTATTTGGTGGTCTGATGGGCGAGTCTGGGTTTGACAGATGCCACGATAATGTTACCTGCTTGACTGCATTTTGCCAACTGTAAAGCTTGGTGGAAGAGGGATAATAGTATGGGGCTGTTTGTCAGGGGTTGAGCTAGGCCTCTTACTACCAGTGAAGGGAAATCTTAATGTTTTAGCATACTACGACATTTTGGACAATGCTATGCGTCTAGCTTTGTGGGAATAGTTTGGAAGAGGCCCTTTTCTATTCCAGCATGGCTCTGCCCCAGTGAACAAAGCAAGGTCCAGAAATACCTGGTTGGATGAGTTTGGTATGGATGAACTTAACTGGCCACCACAGAGCCCTTACCTCAACCCTATCAAACACCTTTGGGATGAACTGGGACGGATATTACGAGCCAGACCTTCTCGTTCAACATCAGTGCATGACCTCACAAATTCTCTACTGGATGAATAGGAAAAATTCCCACAGAAACACCCCAATATCTTGTGGAAAGCCTTCCCAGAGGAGCGGAAGCTGTTATAACTGCAAAGGAGGGGACCAATTACATACCTGTTGGTGTCATGGTCAGGTGTCCCATTACTTATGTCCATATAGTGTATATTTATGGTAGCCTCATTTTGATGATGCTTACCACGTTAAATATGTCATTTTAATGGCATCATCATTTCTTCCTTGCTCTAGGTTGGCATTACAGTTAGCGCAAGCCCGGTTAAGAGTTTAGAGGGGGGGGAGTGGAGGGCACCGTTTTAACACAGTATGGGGCCAGATATTGAAAAGCAGGTGTGGTTTGCTTCTTATTCTGCACATGTAAGCGATGCGTGTGTTTGTTGCAACTGTATCACCAAGTAACTAACCTTTTATGAGATTTATTGATCCATAGACAACAAAAAGCAGTTATTAGTTTTCAGTTAAAACTGTAATCTGACACAGAACAAACGATTTATTGTATTATTATATGACGACACACAATGGCAAGGAGTTGATTAATTTCTTATGTGTCAAAGGGAAACAATTACATTGTAAGGATCTCACACAGTACTGGAAAGTTATGTCCAATTCAGGAACTTACTTTAAAGGGACAGTCCAAACTGTCACAGTCTACTCTCCCTATGCAGCAAATGGTGCATGGAATTCCCTGCACATCGTTAAAGGGATACTATAGTGCGAGGAAAACAAAGCAGTTTTCGTGGCACTATAGGTTCCTACAGTGACCACCTCCGCAGCAATGTTGCCACTCTCAGCTTTGGCAGTAGCTCCATTCATATTTTATGATGAATGGAACTCCTTTTGAGTGATGAACTACAGAGGTTTATGGGATTCAGCTTCCACAGAAATCAATCTGAAAGCTAGCAATTTCTCACAGGTGTAATTCTCATTCATTTTCAGATTATTTTTTTAGGCACTATTTATATAAACTATTGAATTAAAGAAGCCGTGATGCAAATATAAATGTGTGTATATATAAATACTACACACTTGTAGCCTCTTGATTATCTTAAAAAAAAATAAAACACTAGATTTATGTGAACTAATGGGATTAATAATGCAGTACAAACACTTGTACAGATAGTAAGGAAGTAAAACAGCCACCCCCCAATTATGATGTCTGCAGTGGAGAGGGTGGTCTTTTGGTGCATCAGAATTCCCATTTTTATGTTTTTTTTGAGCCAATAAACTGGAACAGTACATTGTTTTTCATTTTTATACTGAGCTGACCCTGGCCTGTTTGAGGCAGTCCTGACTTTATCAGATTATCTGCAAGACAGAGAGTTTATCCTATTTTCCACAGAAAATCCTGGTGGTGCTACAATAAAACTGCCAACATTGCAATCCTTCTAAAGCTATAAATATTTATTCTGAATTCCTCTCGATTCATTCTGAAAATCTTCTCTCTCATTCGGAATTGTTGCCAAGATTTTCTCCTTGTAGATAATTCACTGAGCTCTCAACCTGCACAATTTAGGGATAATTCACATACAGGCCCAAAATGTTCTCTTTGGTATTAAATAAATTCAATTTGGGGGCAGATTCCATATTTAACCCAATTGTGCCAAGTCAATTCAAACCAACTGGCTGTCTTTAAATAAACAATTTTTTTTTATTTTTTTTAAACATTCAAAATATTAGATATCTACACAAATTATAGCAATTTAAATACTAACTAAGCATGTACACATTCTGTGGATTTTTTGGTGATTTCTTTTTGTTTGCTTTTAGCAAATTTTGAATTGTAGGGAATACCCCTAAAACAATTACTCACAGTTTGAGGAAGGACATGTTTCGCTCTCCACTACTTCTTGTACTGCAATCACTTTGTTCTGTTCCCTCATTGCTTCCTTTAGCACTTGTACTCGTGAGACCTAACAGGAAGAGAAGGGAGCTCATTTAAAGGGACACAATAATCAAAATAGTCAGAATTAAAGGACCACTATAGGCACCCAGACCACTTCAGCTTAATGAAGTGGTCTGGGTGCCAGGTCCAGCTAGGGTTAATGCTTTTTTCTATAAACATAGCAGTTACAGAGAAACTGCTATGTTTATATTAGGGTTAATCCAGCCTCTAGTGGCGGTCTCATTGACAGCCGCTAGAGGTGCTTGTGTGCTTCTCACTGTGATTTTTACAGTGAGAAGACGCCAGCGTCCATAGGAAAGCATTGTGAATGCTTTCCTTTGAGACTGGTAGAATGCGCGCACGGCTCTTGCCGCGCATGCGCATTCAGCCGAGGAGGAGGAGAGGAGGCGGAGAGGAGGAGGAGAGCTCCCCGCCCAGTGCTGGAGAAAGAGGTAAGTTTAACCCCTTCCTCACCCTAGAGCCCGGTGGGAGGGGGACCCTGAGGGTGGGGGCACCCTCAGGGCACTATAGTGCCAGGAAAATAAGTATGTTTTCCTGGCACTATAGTGGTCCTTTAATAATGAAGCAATTTCTCACTGCTCAATTCTCTGCCATTTAGGAGTTTAATCCCTTTGTTTATACAGCCCTCGGCACACATCCCTGCATGTGACTTCTACAGCCTTCCTAAACACTTCATGTAAAGTGAAATCTAATGTTTACACTTCCTTTATTGCACAATCTGTTTAGTTTAGAATTTCATATCTATTGCTATGTTAACCCCTTAAGGACCGGCCTGTTTTTGCGATGTTGTACGTTAAGAACCAGAGCAGTTTTGACACTTTTGTGGTGTTTGTGTTTAGCTGTAATTTTCCGCTCTCTCATTTACGGTTCCCATTTAAGTTATATATTGTTTTTTTCAGGACAAGAAGGGCTTTCTTTACATAACATTATTTGTATCATGTCATATATTTTATTTAAAAAATAGTGACATTGTAACACCGTTATCTGTCATAAATCCCCGAATCACACCTCACATGTACATATTTTTTTAAAGTAGACAACCCAGGGTATTCAAAATGGGGTATGACCAGTCTTTTTTAGTAGTCACCTAGTCACAAACACTGGCCGAAGTTAGCATTTATATTTGCATGTGTGTTAAAAATTCAAAAACGCTAACTTTGGCCAGTGTTTGTGACTAAGTGGCTACTAAAAAAAGCTGAACATACCCCATTTGCAAGACCTTGGTTTGTCTTCTTTTGCAAATGGTATGCCATCATGGGGCTAATTCTCATTCCTGGGCTACCATACGCTCTCAAAGGCAACCTAACCAATCTGACAAATTTCAATTAAAAAAAATAAAAAATAAAATCAAGCCTTATATTTGACCCTGTAACTTTCACAAACACTACAAAACCTCTACATGTGGGGTACTGTTATACTCAGGAGACTTCGCTCAACACAAATATTAGTGTATCAGAACAGTAAAACGTATCACAGCAAATATATCAGTGAAAGTGCCATTTGTTTGTGAAAAATGCCAAAAAAGTCACTTTCACTGACCATATCATCGCTGTGATATGTTTTACTGTTTTGAAACACTAATATTTGTGTTCAGCGAAGTCTCCCGAGTAAAACAGTACCCCCCATGTACAGGTTTTAGGATGTCATAGAAAGTTACAGGGTTAAACACAGTGCTAGCAAATTAAACTCTCTGGACTGTCGGCCTGGGTTGGCAGGCAGGTCCCTCAAATTGCAATCATTAAAATTACTTAATTAGGTAAAAATATTACATAAATACGCATGTAGAATTTTAATATATATATACATATTTATATATTTGACGTCTACGTGTATATTTATGAAATTATTTATGTAATTATGTATATGGACATATGTATATTTTGTATTACTTTTATTTATTTATTTATACATAGATATATATCATTACATTCTAAGTGTATTTTGATATAAATATATATATTAATATCAAAATACTGTTAGAATAAAATTACATATATAATTTTTTGTTTTAATTATTAAAAATTATTTTTACTTTTTATTTATTTTATTAACATTATTTATAATTTATAATATATATACAATATATAGTTATTATATATATTGTATATATACACTTGTGTAATTAAATTAAAAGTGTATTTTTATATTAATATACGTATATATAAATATAAAAATACACTTAGTATGACATTATATATATGATATATATATATACATATATTATATATAGATATAATACATATATATATATATATATATATATAAATATTTTTTTTTTTACACTAATAGCTTTATTTTTTAACTTTATTTTTGATTTTCCACTTGCAGGGAGACTGCCTGTCAGCACAGACAGTCCCCCTGCAGGCAGACACACAGGCACCTATTACGGCCAAGTGATTGAGTGATCACGTGACCGCGGGGTCCTGATCTGACGAGGGGAGACTGCCCGGGCAGACAGACAGTCCCCCTGGACCGGGAGGAGCGCTGATCGCTGCCGGGGGACCAACGGCAATCAGGTAAGTAGCCCCAGGTAAGTAGCCCCAGCCCCAAGGGGATTTTTACGATGACGGTCCTGAACTGTCATCGGTCGTCAAGGGGTTAATAGCTTGCTAGATCACGCAGGAGCCTCCTGTATGTAATTAAAGTTCAATTTACAGAGCAGGAGATAAAATATCCTAAAGCAAGTTAACATCTGATCTATCCAGGCTGAATCCGTCACAGCCAGGGGAGGTGTGGCTAGAGCTGCAAAAACAGAAACAAACATGATTTAACTCCTAAATGGTCCTCATTGCTTCTTGATAGGTAATTGACAGAATATAAATGTTAAAGTTATGTCCAGCTGTGGACAATTCAGGAAAGATTTCTAAATGTTGAAAAATGTTCTTCCTTACTGTAAACAGTTTTTTCTTCAGTTCTGTTTCTTAAAATATAATTGGGTTGTATTCACTAAACAATGACGTGCAATAAATTGAAAATTATTTTTTGATATTTTGGGTAAAAATGCTTAATTACAGAATTAGATTTTCAATTGGCCACAAATCGCCGTATAATGAATAAACCAGATTTAATATAATTATTTACACCTTGGGATTCTAGTTTATTTTACCTAATTCACCCTGCGTAAACACTAAATAAATCCTTTACATGTTTAGGTTTTCCAACATTCGATACACAATGTGCTTACTGTGCGTCTCCTGCACGTGGGCGAAAATGCAAGAAAACATCAATTTGTGCGTGAATCCAGGCTTGGAAACAGAACACAAGAGAAAATCCCATGTAACATTAACGATGAACAGAGAACGATACCAGGATACAATCATGAAAATGGAACATTATTTGTTTTTCATTTAAAAATATTTTTTTTAAAGTATATTTGATGTGAGGGAGCACAAGCCTGTTTCACGTACGGAGAATTGCTTGGCTTCTATCCGCCTTTATACCGCTACTATTTAATCAAGAAATGACATTTACAAAAACACTGCTTACTAAACACACTTCTGCTCACTGAGCCCACCTGGGGAGATTTAAAACACAGAAGGAATATTTATAAGAAATGCAGATCTGTCCTCAGGAGGGGGAACTCTGCAAACATAGAATAAAATATCTACTTACAATTTCCATCAGTGTATTAGCCAACGTTACACATCACTGCATTATAAATTAGATTTACTTTTTTACACACTAATCCAAATTAAACGTCAGTAGCCCCTAGACCCAATGTCAATAACAGCCACGCACTGCTAGCAAGTATTCAAAGGGTTAAAAGAGCTAAGGTTTTTGAAAACTTTTTCTTGACGGCCCACTGCCATGACAAACAAGAGAAACACAAACAAGATCAAACATGCTGTCAATGTCACAGCTACAATCAAACTAATGATATATACATGTAGACACGAAACACCTTGCCATTATTTCTTCCAATTCTTATTTATTTTTTACAGGAAATACAATGAAATCCCTCCTGAACAGACAGACGTCAAGGTCGTTTCAGAATGGCCTTGCAAGGAATATAGTTTCACCAATCAATAAATAATGAATATAAGATCTTGAATTTATTCACTGTAGGTCAGTGTTGAGCTTTTGCCAATACAGCAAGAAGTATCAAGAAGGTTCCTGATCAGCCAAGTTAGAGATTTTTTTTTTTTTAAATCAAATATATTCGTTAGATTTTTTTCCTTTATGAGTTACTTTTTATTCGTATTGTATCTCCACCAACCAAACATTAATATACCCCCCAAGCGTTCCTGTACAGGAAGGATAGTCCTTAACTTGTGCCCAAATCCTTCTGTCCCTTTTTTCCTGAAGGGTTCACAACAATAAAACGCAAGGTAAAAAGTCTTTAAAATACCATAAATTTGCTTGGAAATTAGATGCTTAAATAAGATACTTTAGTCTTGATCCATGGTAAATATTCAGCTACAAGAATGTCGATTAGTAGGTCACAAAGTCACCTACGCATTTGGTCCAATACTTAACATTTTTATCATTTAAGTTGTAATACACACAAGTCACATTTTTAATTTAGAAATTGTAGGTTTTTTTTTTATATATATATATACACATACAGGGCCAGATTAAGAGCCACGTGGGCCTGGTGCTGACAATTATGACGGGCCTAATTACAGAATCATATCGACCAAAAATAGTAAAACACTCCCAACCATCATGTATTTGATGGAGATGGTGCTGGAGAGAAAGAAAACAGCAGCTATAAGAAAAGGCTAATCTCTCTCTAATTTATGTTTTCATCTTTCAAGTAAATCCATAACCCCTAACAGCAGTGTCCAGTCAGGCAGGAAGTCAATGGGCATGGTAAAAGGGTGTGCCACTGACACAAATCACGTAACCTGCCAAAAGGGGCGAACATGCCCAAAAAGAGGACATGTCTGCTCAAAGAATTAGAAGGCCAGCCTGGCATGAATGCA